TGGGTGACCCATGACAATTACTTACTACTATTTACTTGGTATGCTACTCACACCTGACCAACTCCTTTAAGCTGCTGGACTTAACGAGCCTTAACAGCTAATCCTATTACAAGGGGGTGAACCTAGAGAATGGCACAGCCCGTCGGGGGCCAAGCGGAACTTATTTGTGTCTTAACACAACAGGGGCCAGTGCGACGGGGCCTAGAGTGGAACCGAGCTGACAGCCGAAATGATGATCTTATATACTCATTATACACTATGCACATTTTCCAAAATATTCACGCACATATTACAAATAACTCTTCATTGAAATTTAAGAAGAAGAAATATCACCTGATGAAGGAGTAACCATATACTCCGAAACGTTGTGTTCCTCATAATAAAGAAGTTGACATCCATATATTCTCTGCCTTATGTGAATCATTTCTAAATGCCTTTCAAAGACCTGAAGAAATATCAAGTTGTTTTTCTGACATCTCTCAAAAAGACATAAAATGCTTTTCATGATCGGATAAAATTAGGAATCCAGTCTCATTTCTCAGGCAATATGTATATGTAACGTGTATATATACCAGCAGAAAAGAGTAAGTGTCCTTCATATGAAGTAGTGTAACTGTTATGGTATTGAAACATAATATTTGGTCATTCGTCTGATAATGTTCTGTATCAACAAATTCATTGACAAAACTCATACCTGGTAACAGGTGATAGAGCGACACACCCTCAAAGAGAGGTGGTGTTACAACTCAATTAACAACGTCAATATCGAGTGTGGCCCCCATTTACGTTGATACAGGCGATGCAGCGGTGGCACATTGAAAACAGCCTGTAGGATGGTGTTCCAAATATCAGCATAGATTGGACAAACTAAGCTCGCGTTACCGGCTGGTTCTGGTCTTGTCGTAAGCGTCGCTCCATCAGTCATGTTCTACGCGGGAGAGGCCTGTAGAAACAGCCAGCCATTGCAGTACAGCAATCATGATTTGCTGCCTCAAACCGTATGTGCAACAAGTGGACGGGCATTATCGTGACGTTGCGTCCCTACATTTGCACGAAGGGTAGAATATGATCTCGAACGATGTCGTCTCGGTAGCGTACGCTATTAAAATGCCATTAACAATGATGAGGTGTGTTCCCCAATGAGTTTCCCAAGTTTCCCACGTTGCGTAACGCAAACGTCGCCAAAACGTTCTCCTGGAAGCCTTCAGACCCTTGCACGACCACCAGAGCTGTTCAGATGAAACCTGGATTTATCTCTGATCGGTACACTGTCCAGGTCTTGTCTTCTGTACCTTATTGGCTGTCTACGCCAAGCTAGGCGTGCCTGGCGGAGACGAGGAAGCAAAGTTACAGGCCGTCGGGGCCGGATGCTGTGCTCTCTCAACCGCGCCTAGAGTGCTGCCACTAGTTGGTCTGAAACCATGAATTGTCAGAGAACCCAAGAATTGTCAGAAATTGTTCATGTGGCAGTTTGGTATCGATTCCGTAGATGCTCCAAAAGAAAATGGTTGTCTTGTTGACGTGACGTCACACATGAACGACCGGCCCTTTTTAAGTCATGAGTGTTGCCCTGCTGAATAAAACGCCTACACAAGATAACGGACAAAAAGATGTCTGTCATCTTCGTTTACGTTGCCTGATTGAAGCAGTCAATATACATACTGACCATTACGGGAGTATTGTAAATGTAACGATGAGGAAAACTTATGAAAGATTTACCATTTTTTCACATCTCTTTTCACATCATTATACCCTCTTTGAAGTAAGGTAACTTGAGCACAAGTAGGAGTTATTTCCTGACGTCACAGGTATTTAACAAATTACCAAAACCTTGTAAAGGCGTTTCTGCTGGACTGCAGACTGCATATGGTGGCGCTCGTGAAACGTCCTTAACTCTGGATGTCACACTGACATTCCCAATTGGGTTAACATAATCTCAACTGATATCAGTGCAAAACTGCGATAGCTGTTATAATAACAGCAACACGTGTGTACGTGGCCATTGTGCATGTGACCAGAAGAACCGGGCAATGTTGTGTGACCTGTTTTGGGCAATGATATAGGTTCAATGTCGGCCAGTAGACACTACCAACAACCATACAGGTAGCGCAGGGTTACACAGGTAGTGCGATAGCGTGTAAATATTTATTTATTTATTTTTTTAATTATATTTATTATATCAGTTATATTACCGCTTGTGAAGTGAGCGAGTGAGTTGGATTTTACACCCAGATCATCGACAGGAGCGGTTGGATTGCACAGCTCCGACAGCTACGACAGCCGCATCATCAACGACTATGGCGATCATGAATAATCTTGAAGTGATACAGTGGATTCCGCCGGTATCCAGTGGTCACTCGGTCACGGTTTGAGTTCTGTCACGTGATTATCAGTCATACCTTTTCGACCCTCTGTCAACTTTCATTAACTGCTCAACTTTTGACAGGGTTATTCCGAATGTTACAGGTGCTTGATTATTTATGGTAATATGTATACGTATTGTATTACATTGCATAATAGACAACTGCATTGGTCATTCATCAGATAACATTTTCCAAATCATACTTTATATCTATGGAAAGAGTGTTTGTTTGTTGTTTAACGCCACACTCAGCAATATTCTAGCAATATGACGGCGGTATGTAAATAATCGAATCGAATCAGTGATTGATATCATGAGCATCGATCCACGCTTTTGGGATGCGATGACATGCATCAACCAAGTCAGCAAGCCTGACCACCCGATCCCGTTAGTCGCCTCTTATAGCAAGCATAGTCGACTTTTAGGGCAAGCATGGGTTGCTGAAGACCTATTCTAACCCGGATCTCGGGAAAGTAGGGAAAAATCCTTTCTGCATAAGCGTATATGTATCTAATGTTTCGGCTTAATTTTCAGGATTTGTTTCACCTGGTATCATCACTGATTTTCAGTGATTCAGTAGAATCTGCTTCGGTGGATGAACCAGATTGGTTATTCTCTGTCCTTGATGTTTTATGTTTCAGTAATTAAACACAGTGGACATGTACAAGATTATATGTGCTCCACACAATTCACTCCTGCAACAAGGTAACTTACTACTTATCTTCACTAAAGTGATAGGCCGAAGCAATAAAGGAATATAGATGCATCATTACAGGGGCTAAATTCACCTGATGCAAGCTTCATGAGCCTTGTTGAGAATAAACAACGACAGTTCATCCACAAGGGCCTTGTTTTCCTGTGTCTCATGGTAAACTTTACACCCTGGAACCTGTACCCGAGATGAAGGATCTGTCGTCATGAGTCACAACATACAGGGTAAGTACACATACTTATCTAACCTTTACATTAAAATACTAGCTTCTGATTGGTTAAGGAGCGGGCAATTATCTTACATGTAGGTCCCTCATGTTCCCCGCTGAGAAATCATTCGTAACACACCGCAGGTAAGCTTATCTCGCATAAGTATCGTTGAGCTGAAATGAACCGAAGTTTATAAGAATGTACAGGGCAAAGGGAAGTAACTCGGTTCGTTTGACAAAATAGTTACATCTTAGCGTTTCTCTCCGTTGAACGTCGGACGTACATGTATATTCCGGGTCTATATGATTGAATGTCTGTGACATAAATTAGTTGTCAACAGATAGGCTCACACACAGGGTACATCATACCCTTTTCCGCTCGAGATTGGTTGACTACTTATAATGTAGAGAAGACAAGATGTCGTAATAGCATGTTTTATTCACAACATTTCATCGATCACTCATGTCGCTTTATGGCAAAGATTCCAAGGCCATTGGACCATCTCCTGACTTCAGTGGATATACAACCATACATAATCCTTTCGGACTGTTTTATCTGTTTTGATTATAGATACACATGCACAAACGTTAAGCGCCACCATATTCATAGTCTCTTGATTTCACGTGTGGGATCAGAAATACGAAATATGATGATGTATGACTGAATAGACTTCCATAGTTTCCTGAACCCAAATTTGTCCAGATACCACAAGGAAAGCGTGCTTTACGTGTTGCTGCAGTTCCCCTACCCTATAAATAGTGAAAATCAAGTTTCAGACACGTGGTTGCATTTCGCTCCTGTGTGAGATTCCACTTCCAATAGAGGTTGAAAATCAGCCATAGTGAGGAGAAAGTTATCGAACGCTGAAAGATGGCAAGTGATAGGCATGAAAAATGCTGGCATGTCATGCAGGGCCATTGCAAGACAAATGGGTCGTCACCACACTGTTATCACACGTTTGATTGTCAAACATGGTCAAACCAATGATGTCAACTCAACTGACTGGGAGGCACATGCGGAATCGTCTGATATGGTGTCGTGCCCGTAGTCGATGGAACTTGGCCAACTGGAGAAGGATCCACTGGTCTGACGAGTGTCGAATGCTGCTACGAACTGTTGATGGTCGAATACGTGTTTGGAGGCAACCTAACACTCGTTTTGCACCAAGGAACATCCAGAAGACCTTAGCATGTGGCGGGGGGTCTGTCATGATATGGGGTTGTGTTTCCTTCGGCTGCAAACTTCCGCTGGTGACAATTCCAAGATGCCATTCTTCGTCCAGTGGTAGTCCCTCATTTTGACAACCATCCTCTTCAGACAAGACCTGTTAATATGGACGACAATGCTAGACCACACAGATCTCGGGCAGTTTTGGCTTATTTGCGTCAAGAAGCTATTGCCACTCTTTCTTGGCTGGCCTGTAGTCCGGATCTTAATCCGATTGAGCATCTCTGGGACATTCTTGGCCGGAAAATCAGACATCGTGATCCCCCAGGTCAAAATCTCGCTGGACTTCATGAAGAATGGATCCGTTTGCCTCAGAGAAGCATTCAACGACTTGTAATGAGTATGAGGCGTAGTGTTGAAGCTGTGGTCAATGTCCGTGGATCATACACACGTTACTGACGTTTCTGTCTTGCAATAGACTCTGCACTCACTAGGGTGTCTATGTGACACCTGATATGGTCTGCTGATATCATGACAGTTACATGACAAAAAGAGTTTTTCAATGTTTTCTAATCCTTCAATTTCTGGTCTTCGGTAAAATTCCTTTCTGCTCATATTCTTTTGGAACACAAGATAAACTTGGTTTGGGACAACTTCTGCATCACTTGAGGTTTACATATACGGCTTATAACAATCGTACATCTCATTATAATAGTCATCATTAAGTGCCAAAAGTAACAGCTCACACATATGGTGGGTGGCGCTTAACTTTTGTGCATGTGTATATATCTAACAAAATACCATGGATTACACGAAGGCTTTCTCTGTGGCCCGCATACACATCATGCAGTACTTTGCAATTTCTTTTTAAAAGGCATTTTAATACTACTGGTTAAGATCTTGGGGCTATTTCATGTGGTATATATCTTGGTATTACTCAGCCGGGACCAGTGACAACTTCATCTTTTCCACACCTTCTTTGCCTTTGATGGTGATGGCTGTGCCGTTGATGGTGTCGTCCTCCATTGCCAGCAGGAATGCCTCCATCACCTGGTCTACCCTGGAACATAGAGTGAGTGAGTGACTACGGATTAACGCCGCTTTGAACAGTATTTCAGTTATAGCACGGCGTGTCAGCTTAATGTGGGATGACAAATCGAAGTGATGCGGGTCTCAGACGTTTACCACATTATCGAAATCCACGAGCACCCGTATGGTGCTAGAAATATAATCGGATCGCAAAGGGATTCAAACCCACATTCTTAGGTTTCTAGCATGCTCAAGGGACGCAACTCTACACAGTGAAATGCTAATTCACTGTATTGAATTCCACTGATTGTCCCACCTGAGCTACCTGAGACCAGTGAGGTCGATTCATCTGTATCAAATTTAGATCAATGCATAAAAGGGGGCACGGGTGGCCGAGTTGTCTGAGGCGCCGCGATTCTCTGTGCGGAGTTGCGTCCCTTGGGCACGCCAGAAACCTATGATTGTGGGTTCGAATCCCGCTCCGCCCCGATTATGTTTCTAGGTTTGTCAGCACCATACCCGTGCTCGTGGGTTGACCGAAGTGATAAACGTCTGAGAGCTGCATCACTTCAGGCTTTCCTGCCACATTTAGCTGACACGCCGTGATATAACTGGAATACTGCTAAATGCGGCGTTAAACCCTACTCACTCACTCACTCAATGCATATAAAACCCGAGTTTCACAGTAATATTCACAAGACTGTAAAAGGAGGGATGACCTCAACTGTCCCTTTATGTCGGGCAATATTTCAGCAGCTCCAGCCTCGATATTTCCATTTCACAACTATTAATAATAATAATTTATAATGCGCAAAATTCCATTCACCAAGTGGATGCTCTTAGCCGCCCACTATTATTACCCCGGTCAGTGGATCAGTGAGCACTCTATTTTCATTCTCATCTCCCTGGGGAGTATACAACCCAAGCTGCCTGTGAGGCGCTGGAAGGTTAACAGCCACATTACCATCTCATCCTACCGGGTACCCACTCACTGCTGGGTGAACAGAGGCACATTTCGAACAAAGTCACTTGCCTAAGGAGACGCCACTTGTGTTACATGTGCTTCAGTGTAGGGCAGGGCAGAAGCCCTAGAAACTCTCAGGAGTCAAGCAGCTTAACGTGGTCAACCATCCAACTACTCTCCGAGACCGACATTGCTTAAATTCACCTGATTTGTGATCTGTGCGCTGAGCACAGTACCACGTGCCACCACACTATTGAAGTATAATCGAGCATGCTCTTTCTACGACGTTTGTGACAGGTGGGGCAGAATACACTCACCTTATCGCGAACATCCGGTTTCATGACTAATTGATAGTAATTTATAAACACATGCTTATGATACGGTTTAGCAGAGACTTGTAATGATTATGGAAAAGGTTTTGTCGTTCGAGACGTCAATTCATTAACAAAAGACTTTTTCTCATTAACTTGTTAATATTAATGATTATCGTTTTGTTGTTCAGTTGTTAAGCATGATAGGTGCGTTCTTACGTGCAGTACACGTATTGTTCCATAACCTGCTTGAAGTGTGCGGGGTTTATGATCTGGTCATCAGCCAAGTCAAGCAGAGCCGTCTTAGCGCCCGACGGGCAGATACTAACCAGACGAATTTCGGCGGCCTTCATTTCAGGGTTTTGCTGATGAAACAATGACATTATGTAGTGTATATTGTTGTCATTCACTGATGGGATAACGTCATCATACATTTATCACATAACCATTTAAAATGCCGTTAACTGCTTTGCACATAATCGAGACGTTGGCGTTCACGCTGGGGGGGGGGGGGGGGGGGGGTCGCTGGGAGTTTGTATCGAGATTGGATGTTTTCCGCTATAGCTACAAAACCAGATCCTGCATAATTCATAACTTTGAACCAAGAATTTTTGGGGACAGTTTATGCTTTTGGTTATAACCCCAGTCCTACAGACCCTCAGACCCCCAACACCCGCCCCAGCTCAAACCCCTAACCCGACCCCCACCAGAATATGTGATGGTTGGTACCTTACACATTTACACAATATTTCCGGAAGAGTGGAGCGTTTCGCTCATTCCAAAAGTAAACTAAGCGGCAAAAGAAGGTATAGGTTGGCAATTTGTAATTGTCCTAAAAACAGCGATAACTAGTGGAAAGTGGGTATTGGTAATATGACTGCCCCGGAACAGGTACCAAGAAACACCTCACCCGAACGCGCCACCTTTGACGGCGCTCGTGCGGTGACAAAAAAAATGGTGAAACAGGTTTTCCGCCTATGGCATGAATTGCACGTGCATGTCAGCTGTATAAATGCGTTCGTCTGCAGGGTATAACCACACGTGATGAAAGCAAACAAAAGAAGTGTCACGACTGTCACAGGAGCAGAGAGAGAGAGCCATCGGTATGGCCGAAATGGCCATGGCAACACAGGTCCAACTTGCCAGAAGGTTTGGTTGTGCACCATTGACAGTAGCCAGGCTGATTCAACGGTACAGGCAGACAGGGAGGACACAGGACAGGCCTAGAACCGGACGACCCCGAGTGACAAAACTACTGGAAGACGGTCAGATACGGCTCATTCACCTGCGAAACAGATTCGTAACTGTGACGGCGACGACAGCAACAGCGTTGGGACATCCCATTAGCCAACGTACAGTACTACGACGACTTCGTGCTGCTGGAATCCGAGCGTATCGTCCTTTCCGAGGAATGGTACTGACTGCTCAACATCGACGCCTGAGACTGCGATGGGCGAGGCAGGTTCGACGCTGGCAAGTGAGAAATTGGCGTCGAGTGCTATTTACTGATGAAAGTCGGTTTAACGTATTTCGAAATGACGGCAGAGAACGAGTTTATCAACGCAGAGGGGAACGTTTGGCTCCGGCGTTAATTCGGGAGGTCCATCCATTCGGCGGGGGAGGTATCATGGTGTGGGGCGGTATTTGTGGAGATCAGAAGACTGATGGTGATTATACAGGGAAACCTGAACGCTGTGCAGTACAGAGACCAAGTGTCGCAGCCAGTTGTGCTTCCGTTCTTACAAAACCAACAGCAGGGGACGTTGTTTCAACACGACAATGCCAGGCCCCATACTGCAAGACTGACTCGGAACTTTCTAAACCAACAGAACGTTGACGTTTTGCCCTGGCCTGCCCACTCACCCGATATGATTCCTATTGAACATCTGTGGGACCATCTTGACAGACAGATTAGAGCACGCCATCAGCCTCCCGTCAACAGACAAGAATTGCAGCAAGCCCTGAGGGACGAGTGGTAACGGATTCCAGTCCACGTCATCAGAAGACTGACGTCATCGATGAGGCGGCGTATCACAGCATGCATTGAGGCAGCTGGAGGTCATACACGCTTTTGGAGGCAACTGTGTCGACAGTGAACTCGTAGTGTGTCTGACAATTTTTTGGTGACATTTCAGGCAACTTTTGAAAATGAAATTTCTTACCCCACAATTGTTTACCTTGAGCTTACATTACATGTGATTGCACAATTTCATTCAAACTGTGGTTGATCAATCATTTGTTACCCCTCCCTAGATTATATTTTAACTCACAACAAAACCTCTTCTTGTTATTTTTTTTTCGATCATGGATCTCGACCTATACTTTCTTTTGCCGCCCAGTTTAGAAAATGTGGGTATTTATATCGAGTATGCATATATCCAGATCAATATACTTGTATAAAAAACTATTTGAAATAAACTTACTGCCCAGCTCGCTGTGAAATGATAAACAGCACTTTTACTGGCTGCGTAAGTAGGGAACCAGAGCATAGGAAACAAACCTTAAAAAAAGAGAGAAAGAAAGAATAAAGTTTACAACATTCAAGTGCGTCGGAATCATACACTCGACTCTTAGCAGAGATATCGTGTGACTATGGAAATGGTTGTGTCGCTTTTGGTAACCTTCAAAGATTATTAAAAGTGCAAGCATCACTTAGGAAGGGTTTCTTATTCATGCAAGTTATGGTATATCTGCTTCAGTTCAAGTGTTTCATATCTTTATGCAATGTTACCTTGTAACATGGTAACTAGTTGGTCGATAAATTTGTTTGTTGTTTAACACATCAATATTGCAGCCATATGACGGCGGTCTGTAGATAATCGAGTCTGGACCAGACAAACCAGTCACTGACATCCATCCCGTTGGTCGCCTCTTACGAAAAACATGGGTCGAGACCCATTCTAAACCGGATCTTCACGGGGGCAGTCGCTAAGGGCAGGAAGCAAAGTAGATACTTAGACTCCTCCTCCTCCTCCCCCAATGTCTCTCAAGCCACCCCATCACCCACAGACCTGCCATAACTTAAACACCTCATCTACGATCCGGAAAATAATGTTTTGCATGATTGGATAAGAATGACCACTTCATACCTCCCATTGAAGCGGTATTGATGATGACACCGCCTCTACCCCCTTTATCCTTCCTCATGTGATTCAGCGCCATCATTGTCCCCCGCACAACGCCACCCTGGAAGTTGACAGCAATAACGACATATGACGGTATAAACATAGAGAGGGTGGTTGTAGATTTATCAAAATTCGAAAACGTTCAGTAATTGTGACTATCTGTTTAGAAACACAATGTGAATATTTCGCAACACAACACATGCTTTTTTATCGAAACATTGAACCTCATCTGAAACATGGAAGATAGATTGATAATTGGTGGCTATATTGGATTATACAAATTAGACGTATTTCCCAAACTGGGATTGCTTGGGACTTTTAGTATGTTGTTCTTGGGGCCTTGTAGAAATGCATTGAGGTGAAATAAATTACGGAGCAAATTGTTCCATGTGAAACCTTATTTTGTCTGGACTATGTGAGCTTGTGTATATCATATGTATGGTGGATACTAAATTGATAAACTTTCAAACACTTACGAAGTTGATTTCGAGCTGTTTTTCCCATATTCGTTCATCCATGATGCCCGCATTGTTGCACATAACATCAACGTGACCAAATTTTGAGACGGCAGCTTTGAAAGCATCTAGATAAAGAGTCAAAATCGTAAAACAAATCGACAGCCGTCAACACCACAGTGTGGTGAATATTATTTGTTTAATTATAAATGGAAGCAACATATAAACGAGGGGAAATGTTACAGGAGAGTATACACTGACCAACATTGTCACAAATGACTGAAAACACAAACAACACAACCAATGATCTGCACGTGCAACTCGATGTATTGTAGATATACTGTTTCTAACCTGATTAGTGAGTACGTACGGTTTTACGCCGCTTTTAGCAATATTCCAGCAATATCACGACAGGGTACATGGGCTACACACATGTGGGGAATCGAGCCCATGTTTTCAGCGTGACAAGCTAACGTTTTAGCCACTCGGCTACTCCACCGCCTCCAAGCCGCATTAACAACAACAGTTGAGAATAGGCACTTGAAAACTACATGGACTACGACTCGCACCAGAGCTATTGGGATGTTCCAAACGACCACTCGAACTATTGCATATACACCAAGACATGAGGAAGAATCCATTCTCTGCTTGCACCCCTGTCATTTGCCCTAATAGTTGCACCTAGTTTATATTTATTATGAATGTACTTAAGAAGTTGGCATTCAAGTGGTCTAAACCCTTACCTTGAAGTTGAGTTCCGATTGAACAGTATCGTTATGCTTATACTCATCAGAATCATCGCATTTGATACATATTCTGTTGGAACGTATTTAATACATATTCTGTTCGAACGTATTAAATACATATTCTGTTGGAACGTTTTTAATACATATTCTGTTGGAACGACATTGATACATATTCTGTTAGAACGTATTAAATACATATTCTGTTGGAACGTATTTAATACACATATTCTGTTCGAACGTATTTAATACATATTTTCTTGAACGTATTTAATACATATTCTGTTGAAAGTATTTTATACATATTCGGTTGGAACGTATTTAATACATATTCTGTTGGAACGTATTTAATATATATTCTGTTGGAACGTATTTAATACATATTTTGTTGGAACGTATTTAATACATATTCTGTTGGAACGACCTTGATACATATTCTGTTGGAACGTATTTAATACATATGTTGTTGGAACGTATTTAATACATATTCTGTTGGAACGACATTGATACATATTCTATTGGAACGTATTTAATACATATTCTGTTGGAACGTATTTAATACATATTCTGTTGGAACGTATTAAATACATATTCTGTTGGAACGTATTTAATACATATTCTGTTGGAACTTATTTAATACATATTCTGTTGGAACGACATTGATACATATTCTGTTGGAACGTACTTAATACATATTCTGTTTGAACGTATTTAAAACATATTCTGTTGAACGTATTTAATACATATTCTGTTGGAACGTATTTAATACATATTCTGTTGGAACGTATTTAATACATATTCTGTTGGAACGTTTTTAATACATATTCTGTTGGAACGTATTTAATACATATTCTTTTGGAACGTATTTAATACATATTCTGTTGGAACGTATTTAATACATATTCTGTTGGAACGTATTTGATACATATTCTGTTGGAACGTGTTGGATACATATTCTGTTGGAACGTATTTAATACATATTCTTTTGGAACGTATTTAATACATATTCTGTTGGAACGTATTTAATACATATTCTGTTGGAACGTATTTAAGACATATTCTGTTGGAACGTATTTAATACATATTCTGTTGGAACGTATTTAAGACATATTCTGTTGGAACGTATTTAATACATATTCTGTTGGAACGACCTTGATACATATTCTGTTGGAACGTATTTAATACATATTCTGTTGGAACGTATTTAATACATATTCTGTTGGAACTTATTTAATACATATTCTTTTGGAACGACATTGATACATATTCTGTTGGAACGTATTTAATACATATTCTGTTGGAACGTATTTAATACATATTCTGTTGAACGTATTTAATACATATTCTGTTGGAACGTATTTAATACATATTCTGTTGGAACGTATTTAATACATATTCTTTTGGAACGTATTTAATACATATTCTGTTGGAACGTATTTAATACATATTTTGTTGGAACGTATTTAATTCATATTCTGTTGGAACGTATTTTATACATATTTTGTTGAACGTATTTAATACAAATTCTGTTGGAAGGTATTCAATACATATTCTGTTGGAACGTATTTAATACATATTCTATTGGAACGTATTTAATACATATTCTGTTGGAACGTATTTAATACATATTCTATTGGAACGTATTTGATACATATTCTGAGGGGACATATTTCATACATATTCTGTTGGAACGACCTTGATACATATTCTGTTGGAACGACCTTAATACATATTCTGTTGGAACGTATTTAATACATATTCTTTTGGAACGTATTTAATACATATTCTGAGGGGACATATTTAATACATATTCTGTTGGAACGACATTGATACATATTTTGTAGGGACGTATTTAATACATATTCTGTTGAAAGTATTTGATACATATTCGGTTGGAACGTATTTAATACATATTCTGTTGGAACGTATTTAATATATATTCTGTTGGAACGTATTTAATACATATTTTGTTGGAACGTATTTAATACATATTCTGTTGGAACGACCTTGATACATATTCTGTTGGAACGTATTTAATACATATGTTGTTGGAACGTATTTAATACATATTCTGTTGGAACGACATTGATACATATTCTATTGGAACGTATTTAATACATATTCTGTTGGAACGTATTTAATACATATTCTGTTGGAACGTATTAAATACATATTCTGTTGGAACGTATTTAATACATATTCTGTTGGAACTTATTTAATACATATTCTGTTGGAACGACATTGATACATATTCTGTTGGAACGTACTTAATACATATTCTGTTTGAACGTATTTAAAACATATTCTGTTGAACGTATTTAATACATATTCTGTTGGAACGTATTTAATACATATTCTGTTGGAACGTATTTAATACATATTCTGTTGGAACGTTTTTAATACATATTCTGTTGGAACGTATTTAATACATATTCTTTTGGAACGTATTTAATACATATTCTGTTGGAACGTATTTAATACATATTCTGTTGGAACGTATTTGATACATATTCTGTTGGAACGTATTTGATACATATTCTGTTGGAACGTATTTAATACATATTCTTTTGGAACGTATTTAATACATATTCTGTTGGAACGTATTTAATACATATTCTGTTGGAACGTATTTAAGACATATTCTGTTGGAACGTATTTAATACATATTCTGTTGGAACGTATTTAAGACATATTCTGTTGGAACGTATTTAATACATATTCTGTTGGAACGACCTTGATACATATTCTGTTGGAACGTATTTAATACATATTCTGTTGGAACGTATTTAATACATATTCTGTTGGAACTTATTTAATACATATTCTTTTGGAACGACATTGATACATATTCTGTTGGAACGTATTTAATACATATTCTGTTGGAACGTATTTAATACATATTCTGTTGAACGTATTTAATACATATTCTGTTGGAACGTATTTAATACATATTCTGTTGGAACGTATTTAATACATATTCTGTTGGAACGTATTTAATACATATTCTTTTGGAACGTATTTAATACATATTCTGTTGGAACGTATTTAATACATATTTTGTTGGAACGTATTTAATTCATATTCTGTTGGAACGTATTTTATACATATTTTGTTGAACGTATTTAATACAAATTCTGTTGGAAGGTATTCAATACATATTCTGTTGGAACGTATTTAATACATATTCTATTGGAACGTATTTAATACATATTCTGTTGGAACGTATTTAATACATATTCTATTGGAACGTATTTGATACATATTCTGAGGGGACATATTTCATACATATTCTGTTGGAACGACCTTGATACATATTCTGTTGGAACGACCTTAATACATATTCTGTTGGAACGTATTTAATACATATTCTTTTGGAACGTATTTAATACATATTCTGAGGGGACATATTTAATACATATTCTGCTGGAACGACATTGATACATATTTTGTAGGGACGTATTTAATACATATTCTGTTGGAACGTATTTAAGACATATTCTGTTGGAACGTATTTAATACATATTCTTTTGGAACGTATTTAATACATATTCTGAGGGGACATATTTAATACATATTCTGTTGGAACGACATTGATACATATTTTGTAGGGACGTATTTAATACATATTCTGTTGGAACGTATTTAAGACATATTCTGTTGGAACGTATTTAATACATATTCTGTTGGAACGACCTTGATACATATTCTGTTGGAACGTATTTAATACATATTCTGTTGGAACGTATTTAATACATATTCTGTTGGAACGTATTTAATACATATTCTGTTGGAACGTATTTAATACATATTCTGTTGGAACGTATTTAATACATATTCAGTTCCAACGTATTTAATACATATTTTGTTGAACGTATTTAATACATATTCTGTTGGAACGTATTTCATACATATTCAGTTCGAACGTATTTAATACATATTTTGTTGAACGTATTTAATACATATTCTGTTGGAACATATTTAATACATATTCTGTTGGAACGTATTTAATACATATTCTGTTGGATCGTATTTAATACATATTCTGTTGGAACGTATTTAATACATATTCTGTTGGAACGTATTTAATACATATTCTGTTTGAACGTATTTGATACATATTCTGTTGGAACTTATTTAATACATATTCTGTTGGAACGTATTTAATACATATTCTGTTGGAACGTATTTAATACATAATCTGTTGGAACCTTTTTGATACATATTCTGTTGGAACTTATTTAATACATATTCTGTTGGAACGTATTTAATACAAATTCTATTGGAATGTATTTAATACATATTCTGAGGGGACATATTTAATACATATTCTGTTGGAACGACATTGATACATATTTTGTAGGGACGTATTTAATACATATTCTGTTGAAACGTATTTAAGACATATTCTGTTGGAACGTATTTAATACATATTCTGTTGGAACGACCTTGATACATATTCTGTTGGAACGTATTTAATACATATTCTGTTGGAACGTATTTAATACATATTCTGTTTGAACGTATTTAATACATATTCTGTTGGAACGTATTTAATACATATTCTGTTGGAACGTATTTAATACATATTATGTTGGAACGTATTTAATACATATTCAGTTCCAACGTATTTAATACATATTTTGTTGAACGTATTTAATACATATTCTGTTGGAACGTATTTAATACATATTCAGTTCGAACGTATTTAATACATATTTTGTTGAACGTATTTAATACATATTCTGTTGGAACGTATTTAATACATATTCTGTTGGAACGTATTTAATACATATTCTGTTGGAACGTATTTAATACATATTCTGTTGGAACGTATTTAATACATATTCTGTTGGAACGTATTTGATACATATTCTGTTGGAACTTATTTAATACATATTCTGTTGGAACGTATTTAATACATATTCTGTTGGAACGTATTTAATACATATTCTGTTGGAACCTTTTTGATACATATTCTGTTGGAACTTATTTAATACATATTCTGTTGGAACGTATTTAATACATATTCTGTTGGAACGTATTTAATACATATTCTGAGGGGACATATTTAATACATATTTTGTTGGAACGTATTTAATACGTATTTTATACATATTCTGTTGGAACGTATTTAATACATATTCTGTTGGAATGTATTTAATATATATTCTGTTGGAACGTATTTAATACATATTCTGATGGAACGTATTTAATACATATTCTGTTGGCACGTATTTAATACATATTCTGTTGGAACGTATTTAATACATATTCTGTTGGAACGTATTTAATTCATATTCTGTGGGGACATATTTAATACATATTCTGTTGGAACTACATTGATACATATTCTGTTGGAACGTATTTGATACATATTCTGTAAGAACGTATTTAATTCATATTCTGTTTGAACGCATTAAGTACATATTCTGTTTGAACGTATTTAATACATATTCTGTTGGAACGTATTTAATACATATTCTGTCATGTTGGTGTCAGTATATGTAGTATCTCACCCCAACTACATCTGTAGTAACACTGGCTTCCTACATGGATATGTATGTCGTGTTGGTGTCAGTATATTTAGTATCTCACTCCAAACTACATCTGTAGTAACACTGGCTTCCCACATGGATGTGTATGAACATAATGGTGTCAATATATTTAAAGTCTTACCCTCAAATACAGAAGCATCAGACACGTCACATTTCACAAAGAGGACATTGTCTGTTCCACTGGAAGCTTGTAGCTCCTTGGCAGTTGCCTCCCCTTGGTCCACTTTGACATCCGCGACACAAACCTGACCAGAAAAGGAACTAATATGTCAGACAGTGTATCTTCTTTCTTCAGATCCTTGATTGATGGGTGAAACAGACATAGACTATTATACAAGTTGGTCCAGGGCATCTACACCCTAAAGGGTTTACTATCCAGAGAGAATTTGTGTTCTGGGGCGGCTTTCCTTTGAAAACTCCGAAATTTAAAAAATGGAGGAAGTATAGAAATGAAGCCGAATCGTTTTGGTAGCTAACGTCTGACTTAACCCACGCGTCTTTCATTTAGGTTGGGCGGTCAAAGTTCGTTTAGAGTTCACGTGACGCGACTTCCTATGCAGATGTCCTCAGGTCTTCACACTGATACTTGGTTTTAAAAAGATTGAGACGTAGACATTGTAACTAGTAACATGTAAAAGTGAAGGATTTTGTTGATTGCTAAATAGATATGCATTATAACCTTTTGAGTAACAGACAAGCAAAGTGGTGTTTGGGAGACTCGTACAAACTCGACTCACAGAATAAAACAATAGAATCCAATTATTGCCTAGAAAATAATATCGGTATCTGACATAAATATCTTGAACCAATCTGTAAATATCTCTGTAAAAGGAATATTCTCACGATCAGTCGTAATAGTGTTTTCCTTGAAGCCTTGGATCGACCACATCGCACCATGACTTCAAAGATGTGATCAGAGCAAGTGGGTATTACTCCTCACATATAACGCGCTGAGAAATGCTACTAAAAATAATATTGAAGTGTTTTGTTTGTTTGGGTTGTATTTCAAGAAGAACACTTTTACCTTTGCACCCTTCTTCAGCACAGCTTCAGCCACGGCCTTCCCGAACCCCTGTGCACCTCCAGTGATGAACACGACCTTATCTTTCAGCTGCATGTCGACGACAGGTATGCTGAAGGTGTACATATTATATATAAATGTAATTACTATACTGCTCTGTGAACAGGGCTACAATAAGTGTGTGTTAATACATCGGACTGAAAACAACATTAAATTTCCACAACAGCTGTAAAACTAATAACATGATTATTGCATGGGGGGCATAGAAAACAATTTATATCATACGTCATGGCCAGATATATATTAAATGTCATTTCATTTGTTTCATATACCTTTACTACGTAATATAAACTGTATACATAGAGAATCTAACCCTCGTGTCTTTTGATATCAAATATATCAAAACGAGTTGATAAAAGTGGAAACATTCCGAGGCTTGCCGAGGATTTTTGCCACTTTTATCAACGAGTATTGATATATTTGATATCAAAAGACACGATGGTGAGGTTTTATTTATCATCCAACATCATTCTTCAAACTTTTCAATTTGTAGACAGTAATTAGCAGTGTTTTAAGTGCAAAGAATACTGCTAACAGCTTCAGTGACGTCACAATGGTCTGCAAAGCATTGTGATATAATTTCATTGCAGCGATATCTACAGTTTTGGAAGATAAAATTGAATAAATCAAATCTATTTTCAAAATATGTACTGAAACTATCAGTGACAGCCCTTATCACAAAGCCTACCAAAAATCATAACTAGCACCTGACCTTTTGCCTAGTGCTTCTGATATAACCTGTTGGAACGTGTCGAAATTGTTTTCACGTTGCGGATGGGTGAGTGAGTATTGCTTCTCGTCACTTTAAAGACAAACCCTTATGCACCACGGCGTGTCATCTTAATTCCAGTGGAAGGCAAAGTCGGGCTGCTCCGGACGTCTATCGGTATAATCCACGAGCGTGGACATTGAGGAGGATCAAGTGATGTAACTATTAGATTCAAATCCACAATCAGCACTTGCGGGGAAGGGGAAGGGTTTCCTTGCTTGTTGTTTAACGCCGCACTCAGCAATATTCCGGCTTTATGACGGCGGTCTGCAAATAATCGAGCCTGTTCAAGACAATCTAGTAATTGACATCATGAGCGTCAGTCTACGCAATTGGGATACGATGACATGCATCAACCAAGTCAGCGAGTTTGACCATCCGATCCCATTAGTCGCTCCTTACGATAGTAACTTTTAACGACAAGCATGGGTTGCTGAAGACCTATTCTACCCCGAATCGCAAGGCTAAGGGACGCAACTTTTCACAACTAAGGTGCGGCATATTAAACAACACACACGCACAGAAACCTACCTTCACCCATACACCCTCATCATGTTCAATAAACTACCACTCCTTAACGGCATCGCCTAAAGTCGGGCCGGGCCGGGCCAAGACGGGCCAAATTGTTATTGGCTAATTAGTTCATTATCGGCGATCATACCTACATATTATTGATGCAACATACACATGACATTACCATGCAACAATCACCAACCAAAACCGTGCACCATAATTAAGTATTTCGGAGTAAATCACTTGAAAACCAGAAAGTGGAGTTGTGTGTAAGCGTCGCTGATCTAGGTAACATGTAAAAGAGCAATCGTTAAACGAAAAAAGATTTGAAACGTATCAAATGCTTCTAGCTATAATGATACAAATTTCCATCTGTCGGCATAGCGTTTCTATTTATAGGAACTTCTATATCTAAGTAAATACCTTGTTTTCTTTAAATGTGATTTACTGTGACATTATAAAGTGGTATATGGGTAGCTAAAATACTAAGCTACAGATGTAAACACATTTGATGATCCATCTGTGTGTTTAAAGTTGGTTTTGACAGCCCGGGCCAAGTCGGACCCAAAACAGACAAAACACTGAGAATGTAGAGGGAAAAGGGCTTCACTTTGAGCACCTTGTTTTCTTAAAATACGATGTACTGAGATATCATAAAGTTGTATATAGGTAGATAAAATACTAAGCTACAGATGTAAACACATTTAATGATACATCTATGTGTTTAAAGTTGATTTTGACAGCCCTGGCCAAGTCGGACCTAACACTTCTGACAGAGATTTTCTTAAGAAAATACAGTAAATGTGTTTGACTTTAACGGACCGGTTTTCTTTAAATTCGATGTACTGTGACATTATAAAGTGGTATATAGGTAGATGTAATACTAATCTATAGATGTAAATATATTTGATGGTACATCTATGTGTTTAAAGTTGGTTTTGACAGCCCGGACCAAGTCAGACCCAACACAAGCCAAACACTTTTGAAAGAGACTATGTTGAGAATGTAGAGTGAAAAGGGCTTCACTTTGAGCACCTTGTTTTCTTTAAATACGATGTACTGAGATATTATAAAGAGGTATATAGGTAGATAAAATACTACGCTACAGATGTAAACACATTTGATGATACATTTATGTATTTAAAGTTGATTTTGACAGCCCGGGCCAAATCGGACCCAACACTTCTGACAGAGATTTTCTTAAGAAAATACAGGAAAGGTGTTTGACTTTAACGGAACAGTTTTCTTAAGATGTACTGTGACATTATAAAGTGGTATATAGGTAGATAACATACTTATCTATAGATGTAAATACATTTGATGATACATCTATGTATTTTAAGTTGGTTTTGACAGCCCGGACCAAGTCAGATCCAACACAAGCCAAACACTTTTGATAGAGACTATGTTGAGAATGTAGAGGGAAAAGGGCTTCACTTTGAGCACTGTGTTTTCTTTAACCAGCGCAATATGAGACAATAAAGTGGTATATAATTAGATATAATACAAGTCTTTAGGTATAAAGAATGATTATTAACTTTAGAAGTGCAAGGACAGTTATTAACACATGTCGTGTCAGCCTTATGGCATTCGCGAATATCCACTTCCAGAAAACATCGATCCTGTGTTGGTTTAACTTGAATTCGTAAAGGTTAATTAGGGATGCCCAACAAGTTAATTAATGAACGGTGAGTAGTCAAAACGCTGTCATTTCCTGGCCAGGACATCACACCCCTACACGCTAAGGTCAGTGAGAAACATCCTCATCAAAGAAAACACACAGTCAAGACACTGACTTTTCTACGAGGACTCACGGTATGTAGTCATAATTATCAGTTTATTACATTGTTGAAGATGCATTTTGATTCAAACTCAATTAAATGAGCAAAACTATACGTTTGTGGACATTTGAGATCTGTCCAGATATGCACCTTCCGTTTTATTATTCTGCAATCCATGTTTAGCATTACCCGCTAGACAGGCCCGGCCCGACTTTTAGGCAATCCCCTCCTTAACTCACACAATCATCAAAGCCGCTGATATATTGTACTCCTTCTACTCATAACTATTGCAAAAAAACAATCGAAGGCGTCACGATTAGAACCACTGGAAGGCAAAATTAGATAATTTAACCGGTTGGATTTACAGGATTTGCTGTTCACATCAAAACCCCTTCCATATCCAATAGCATGTCACCTTGACCCACAAATTCTATTTACTTGTATTTTAGCCTTGAATTATATACAGACCTCACCCGTTTACCTTGTGCTACACGACAGACGTTCAAGTATGAGTGTCTGGTGTGTATGCACGCCGACGTTATAGACAGAATGTAACCAAAATACTATTTGTGTTCCACATAATTGTTACTCACCGCGTTGCCCGATGCAATCGTCAATCGCAAGTCTCGGATTTGCTCAGAGTCAACGTCCCCGAGATATCGAACTTTAAACTTTCAACTTCGACACTATCGTGTGCAGCGACCAGAACTGGGTCGGTGCAGAAGCCTGTCTAAAACTGGGACAGTTTGCAGGGCGATGGGTGAATATCTGTGCACACGCCTACCTAGCGCTAGTGAGGACAGTTTACAAAGACTGCATGTTTGTTTGTTTGTTTTTTAACTCCACGTTCAGCAATACCCCAGCTTTTTGACGACGGCCTGTAAATAATCGTGACTGCACCAGACAAGAGAGATGGCAAAAGATTGTGCATCCTTCCCGTATCACTTGGACGCGCCTACGGATGCAGCTGGCAACATTGTCCCAAGTGCTTGGTCTTACCCTAAATAATAAAGATCTGTTGGCAAAATTCAAAAGCTATCTGAACATGCCGGCAAGGACTTTGAGTCCATAACGATTGATCCCTCAGGTTAGTAGCAATCTTCACATTTAGTATATTTAGTGGAAAATATGATATGAAAGACATCAGAGCTTCAGACAGATTTGAATGCTGAGGGATAAGTAAGCGATTATATGTGAGGTTAAATTTTGAAAATTTGTTGCAAGGGCCAGGTAAGGATGTATGTCAGATCGATAACCAAGGCCACAGGTCAGTCTGAAGTACTGAGGTAACAGTGACAATTAAGGTCATTTGGTTTGACCAGCATCAGACTGCAAGTGTATTATAGGTGAGGTGAAATTGGGTTTAACGTCGCGTCCAAGATTATTGCACTTATATAGCGACGTGCATGCACGTGTATGTGTGTGTGTGGCTGCTTGTACTAGTCCGGACTGATGCCGATTTATAGTGCTAGCTCACTGAGATACCATGCCGCAGTTTAACATGAGTACCCCACTCAGACACAGTATACTGACTCCGAGCCGACCAGTCCTTGTTTTAGCCCCTTAATGCCGAGCGCCAGACAGGGTAACAACAAGTACAATCTTTTAACGTCTTTTTGTATGACGCGGCCCGGGATCGAACCCTGGACCTTCCGCTCCACGGGCGGACGCTCTACCACAAGACCACGGAGGCGGTCGCAAGTGTATTATATGTATCATGTATATCATTGTATAATGTATGTCTTATTCCTCTTTCTTGTACAAAACATGTCTAACTGTGCAATGTGAAATGCATTTTAAGTATGTACTTAGTCATGTTAGTGATTAAATACTAAAGCCATCTGAAAATATACAAACAATATTTCATGAAAAATGCATGATAAATTTAACAATATGTCAAATAGCAAATTTATCTCTTCTTGCGACTCTTTTCATATACATGAATTTCATCAAGATGTTGCCATTTACTTCCATGTCTCATGTATATGTATTTTACTACTGGGATGGGATGCCTTTTGGTTGTTTTGGTTATATACTGAACCAAATTAAAAACTTCACAATCCTAAAATTTTAACATTTTGACCAGTTTGTGGGCCCTTATTGTGTATTTAAACAGTAATGACCACGTATTGTCTTCAGATAACACCCGTTTTTGTGCAGGTGAATCGATCAAAATCATGTGCACAGCACTATAGTGGCAAAAGTGTTTTTTCACGTGCAACTGGTCACGTGACCATAATACCGCACCTGTTTTCAGCCATACTTGTTAGCAGTCATTAACAAAAATAGAAAAACACAAGAAAACAAAAATCTTTACGGCCATTTGTCATGCCACGCCTTTCAAATGTGCAACGTGAACGTGCCACCGGCATGTTGCAGACAGGAACGTCCGTAGCTGAAGTCGCAAGGACGATGGGTTGTAGTCGACGGAATGTTTATGATTTACAGACGCGTCTACAGCAAACGGGTACCACCGCTGATCGCCCTCGGCCAGGTCGACCACGTTTGACGTCACATGCAGAGGATCGTCAGATTGTCCTACGTCACCTCCGTAACCGATTTTTGACGGCTACATCAACCAGAAAAGAACTGTTTAGGGGTAGACTGAGTGCGCAAACTCTTCGAAACCGCCCGAGAACTGCTCACCTTCAAGCACGACGGCCATACTGCGGGCCGATTCTGACTCAGTTACACAGACATCAACGTCAATTGTGGGCACAGCGACACTTACGATGAACTCGGAGGAATTGGAATCAAGTCGTCTTCAGTGATGAATCCCGATTTAATCTTGAGTTGCTGATGGTAGGACGAGGGTGTGGAGGCGCCGTCATGAACGTTACGCCCAATGTTGTGTACAGGAAGTTGACAGATTTCGAGGCGGAAGTGTCATGGTGTGGGGTGCTTTCAGTGGCAATGCACGTTCCAGGCTTCTTGTCATCCGTGGCAACCTCAACTCTGCTGCTTACCTCGACCAGGTACTGGCACCAGAACTTCTGCCTTTTATGGCAGCACATGGACCCGGTTTGATCTTCCAACACGACAATGCCAGACCCCACACAGCAATTCTGACAAGGAATTTCCTTCAGAATGTGGGAGTCAACGTCATGGACTGGCCGTCAAGGTCTCCCGACCTCAATCCCATCGAACACGTCTGGGATGTTCCTGGCAGAAGTCTGCGCACTCTCCAGAACCAACCACAGAATTTGCAAGATCTTGGCACCATTTTGCAGCAACAATGGCATCGTCTTCCCAATCATGTAAAGACGTTCTGCTGGACTGCACACTGCATATGGTGGCGCTCGTGAAACGTCCTTAACTCTGGATGTCACACTGACATTCCCAATTGGGTTAACTTAATCTCAACTGATATCAGTGCAAAACTGCGATAGCTGTTATAATAACAGCAACACGTGTGTACGTGGCCATTGTGCATGTGACCAGAAGAACCGGGCAATGTTGTGTGACCTGTTTTTGGCAATGATACAGGTTCAATGTCGGCCAGTGGACGCTACCAACAGACCATACAGGTAGCGCGATAGCGTGTAAATAATCTTGATCTACTTTCGTAAGTGACAAAAGCGGATTCCGCCGGTATCCAGTGGTCACTCGGGCACGGCTTGAGTTCTGTCACGTGATTATCAGCCATACCTTTTCGACCCTCTATCAACTTTCATTAACTGCTCAACTTTTGACAGGGTTATTCCTTATGTTACAGGTGCTTGATTATTTATGGTAATATGTATACGTATAGTATTACATTGCATAATAGACAACTGCATTTGTCATTCATCAGATAACATTTCCCAAATCATACTTTATATCTATGGAAAGTTTGTTTGTTGTGTAACGCCACACTCAGCAATATTCTAGCAATATGACGGCGGTATGTTAATAATCGAGTCAGGACCAGACAATCCAGTGATTGATATCATGAGCATCGATCCACGCTATTGGGATGCGATGACATGCATCAACCAAGTCAGCGGGCCTGACCATCCGTTCCCTTTTGTCGCCTCTGACAGCAAGCATAGTCGCCTTTTACGGCAAGCATGGGTTGCTAAAGACCTATTCGAACCCGGATCTCGGGAAAGTAGGGGAAAGTCCTTTCTGCGTAAGCGTATATGTATCTGATGTTCGGCTTATGTTTCAGGATTTGTTTCACCTGATATCATCACCGATTTTCAGTGATTCAGTGGAATCTGTTTCGGTGGATGAACCAGATTGGTTATTCTCTGTCCTTGATGTTTTATATTTCAGTAATTAAACACAGTGGACATGTACAAGATTATGTGTGCTCCACACAATTCACTCCTGCAACAAGGTAACTTAATTCTTATCTTCACTAAACTGATAGGCCGAAGCAATTGAAGAATTATAGATGCATCAATAGGGAGGCAAAATTCACCTGATGCAAGCTTCATTAGCCGTGTTGAGAATATCCATATTGGCCTTGTCTTCCTGGGTCACATGGTAAAACTTTACACCCTGGACCCTGTTTCCTAGAAGAAGGATCTGTCGTCATGAGTCAAAACATACAGGGTAAATACATATACTTATCTAACCTTTACATTAAAATACTAGCTTCTGATTGGATAAGGAGCGGGCAATTATTTTACATGTAGGTCCCTCATGTTTCCCGCTGACAAATCATTCGTAACACACCTTAGGTAAGCTTATCTCGCATAAGTGTCGATGAGCTGAAATGAACCGTTGTTTATAAGAATGTACAGGGCAAAGGGAAGTAACTCGGTTCGTTTGAAAAAATAGTTACATCAAAGCGTTTCTCTCAGTTAAACTTCGGACGTACATGTATATTCCGGGTCTGTATGACTGAATGTCGGTGACATAAATTAGTTGTCAACAGATAGGCTCACACACAGGGTAAATCGCACCCAATCCCCCTCGAAATTGGTTGACTACTTATAATGTAGAGAAGACAAGATGTCGTAATAGCATGTTTTATTCACAACATGTCATCGATCACTCATGTCGCTCATTTGTTGAGCGCCTTTCGCTTTATGGCAAAGATTCCAAGGCCATTGGACCATCTCCTGACTTCAGTGGATATACATACAACCATACATAATCCTTTCGGACTGTTTTATCTGTTTTGATTATATATATCTAACAAAATACCATGGATTACACGAAGGCTTTCTCTGTGGTCCGCATACACATCATGCAGTACTTTGCAATTTCTTTTTAAAAGGCATTTTAATACTACTGATTAAGTTCTTGTATCTTCTTGGGACTATTTCATGTGGTATTTTGGTATTACTCCGCCGGGACCAGTGACAACTTCATCTTTTCCACACCTTCTTTGCCTTTGATGGTGATGGCTGTGCCGTTGATGGTGTCGTCCTCCATTGCCAGCAGGAATGCCTCCACCACCTGGTCTACCCTGGAACATAGAGTGAGTGAGTGACTTCGGATTAACGCCGCTTTGAACAGTATTTCAGTTATAGCACGGCGTGTCAGCTTAATGTGGGATAACAAATCAAAGTTGTGCAGGTCTCAGACGTTTACCACATTATCGAGATCCACGAGCACGGGTTTGGTGCTAAAAATATAATCGGATCGAATCGGGATTCAAACCCAAAATCGTAGGTTTCCAGCGTGCCCAAGGGACGCAACTCTACACAGTGAAATGCGGCGCTTTAGACGACTGGGCCATCCGTTTCCCCTGGAACTCACATCAGATGCCACAACACAAAACAAGCAGAACATTACATTAACCCGTGAATGCGAATTTAGGAGTTCCAAAACAGGGGAACGTGGTGCCCTATTCGAAAAATGTATTGATTATCTTTAAACCTGTGTCTATGAATATCGATGATGTTTCTAATCATACAAACTCGTATTGCCAAATCAAATTCATATTATGATGAAGTGATAGAAATGGCAGCATTGTGGAATTCTCAAAAACACAAGGGGAAACACTGTATTTGTTCAGGGCACTTTGTCAAATTGAAAGCAAATGTCATCTCAAGTTTAATGAGAAAACAGCATGCGAAATGCTGGACATTCTCACAGATGAGGATATATCTGTGTTCCGTGATATTACTGGAATACTGTTAAAAGCGGCGTTAAATCCAACCCACTCACTCACTCACTCACTCACTCACTCAATGTATATAATGTCAGAGTTACACAGTAATATTCACAAGACTGTATAAGGAGGGATGACCTCAACTTTCCTTTTATGTCGGACAATATTTAACCAGCCTCTATGTTTACATTTCACAACTTTTGAAGTATAATCGAGCATGCTGTTTCTGCGAAGTTTGTGGCAGGTGGGGCAGAATACACTCACCTTTTCGCGAACATCTGGTTTCATGACGAATTGATAGTGATTCATAAACACATGCTTATGATACGGTCGGAATCGCACCATTGACCCTGCGTTTAGCAGAGGCTTGTAATGATTATGGAAAAGGTTTTGTCGTTCGAGACGTCTATCAATTCATTAAAAACCGACTTCATCTCATTATCTCATTAATAATCATGATAATAGGTTTGTTGTTCAGTTGTTAAGAATAATGGGTGCGTTCTTACGTGCAGTACACGACTTGTTCCATAACCTGCTTGAAGTGTGCGGGGTTTATGATCTGGTCATCAGCCAAGTCAAGCAGAGCCGTCTTAGCGCCCGACGGGCAGATACTAACCAGGCGAATTTCGGCGGCCTTCATTTCGGGGTTTTGCTGATGAAACAATGACATAATGTAGTGTATATTGTTGTCATTCACTGATGGGATAACGTCATCATACATTTATTCACATAACCATTTAACTGCATTTGAAAATGCCGTTAACTGCTTTGCATATAATCGAGACGTTGGCGTTCACGCTGTTGCGTTTATGCCAGTAGGGGCAGACAATTTGAGTTTGTATCGAGATTAGATATTTTCAGCTATAGCTACAAAACCAGATCCTGCATAATTCATAACTTTGAACCAAGAATTTTCGGGAACAATTTATGCTTTTGGATAAAACCCCAGTCCCTCAGCCCCTCAGCCCCCCAACACCCGCCCCAGCTCCAACCCCCGCCCCAACCCCCGCCCCAGCTCCAACCCCTAACCCCACCCCCACCAGAATATGTGATGGTTGGAACCTTACACATTTACACAATATTACCGGAAGAGTGGAGCGTTTCGCTCATTCCAAAAGTAGAAGATGTGGGTATTTATATCGAGTATGCATATATCCAGATCAAGGCGCAATATACTTGTATAAAAAACTATTTGAAATAAACTTACTGCCCAGCTCGCTGTGAAATGATAAACAGCACTTTTACTGGCTGCGTAAGCAGGGAACCAGTACGTAGGAAACAAACCTTAAAAAAGACAGAAAGAAAGAATAAAGTTTACAACATTCAAGTGCGTCGGAATCATACACTCGACTCTTAGCAGAGATATCGTGTGACTATGGAAAGGGTCGTGTCGCTTTTGGTAACCTTCAAAGATTATTAAGCATTAAGCATTATTAAGTGCAAGCATCACTTAGGAAGGGTTTCTTATTCATGCAAGTTATGGTATAACTGCTTCAGAGTAAGTGTGTCATATCTTTATGCAATGTTACCTTGTAACATGGTAGCTAGTTGGTCGATAATTGTGTTTGTTGTTTAACACAGCAATATTGCAGCCATATGACGGAGGTCTGTAGATAATCGAGTCTGGACCAGACAAACCAGTCACTGACATCCATCCCGTTGGTCGCCTCTTACGACAAACATGGGTCGAGACCCATTTTAAACCGGATCTTCACGGGGGCAGTCGCTAAGGGCAGGAAGCAAAGTAGATAGACTTCTCCTCCTCCAACGTCTCTCAAGCCACCCAATCACTCACAGACCTGCCACAACTTAAACACCTCATCTATGATCCGGAATATGATGTTTTGCATTATTGGATAAGAATGAACACTTCATACCTGCCAATGAAGCAGTATTGATGATGACACCGCCTCTACCCCCTTTATCCTTCCTCATGTGATTCAGCGCCATCATTGTCCCCCGCAGTACGCCACCCTGGAAGTTGACAGCAATAACGACATATGACAGTAAAAAGATATAGAGGGTGGTTGTATATTTATCAAAATTCGAAAAGTTCAGTTTTTTAGAAACCCAATGTTAAAATTCCGCAACACAACACATGCTTTTTTATCAAAAGATTGAACCTCATCTGAAACATGGAAGATAGATTGATAACTGGTGACCATATTTCCCATACTAGGATTGCTTGGGACTTTTAGTATGTTGTTCTTGGGACCTTGTAGAAATGCATTGAGGTGAAATAAATAACGTTGCAAATTGTTCCATGTGAAACCTCATTTTGCCTGGACTATGTGAGCGGTTGTATATCATGTGTATGGTGGATACTAAACTTTCAAACACTTACGAAGTTGATTTCGAGCTGTTTTTCCCATATTCGTTCATCCATGATGCCCGCATTGTTGCACATTACATCAACGTGACCAAATTTCGAGACGGCAGCTTTGAAAGCATCTAGATTAAAAGAGTCATACATATAGGTACACAATTATTGAGGTTCACCTCTATAGATATACATGGAGGGTTGAAGCCGTCTTGTTCAAAGCCAGAAACTAAAAATCGTAAAACAAATCGACAGCCGTATTATGAATATTATGTGTTTAATTATAAATGGAAGCAACATATAAACAAGGGGAAATGTTACAGGAGTGTATACACTGACCAATATTGTCACAAATGACTGAAAACACAACCAACACAACCAATGATCTGCACGTGCAACTCGAGGTATTATAGATATATTGTTTCTAACCTGATTAGTGAGTGCGTATGGTTTTACGCCGCTTTTAGCAATATTCCACCAATATCACGACAGGGTACAACAGAAATTGGTTACACACATGTGGGGAATCGAACCCATGTTTTCAGCGTGACAAGCTAACGCTTTAGCCAGTCGGCTACTCCACCGCCTCCAAGCCACATTAACAGCAGCAGTTGAGAATAGGCACTTGAAAACTACATGGACTACGACTCGCACCAGAGCTATTGGGATGTTCCAAACGACCACTCGAACTATTGCATATACACCAAGACATGAGGGAGGATATCGGAACCTTGTTCACCTCGTCAGGTTTCTAATCAACACAAGCAGCATGTTCTGTTTGCGTCCTTTCTCTGCTTGCTCCCCTGTCATTTGCCCTATCAATAGTTGCACCTAGTTTATATTTATTATGAATGTACTTAAGAAGTTGGCATTCAAGTGGTCTAAACCCTTACCTTGAAGTTGAGTTCCGATTGAACAGTATTGTTATGCTTATACTCATCAGAATCGTCGCATTTGATTCATATTCTGTGGAACGACATTGATACATATTCTGTTGGAACGTATTTAATACATATTCTGTTGGAACGACATTAATACATATTTTGTTGGAACGTATTTAATAAATATTCTGTTGGAACGACATTGATACAAATTATGTTGGAACGTATTTAATACATATTCTGTTGGAACGAATATTTAGTATCTCACCCCAACTACATCTGTAGTAACACTGGCTTCCCACATGGATGTGTATGTCGTGTTGGTGTCAGTATATTTAGTATCTCACCCCCAACAACAACTGTAGTAACACTGGCTTCCCGCATGGATGTGTATGTCGTGTTGGTGTCAGTATATTTAGTATCTCACCCTAACTACATCTGTAGTAACACTAGCTTCCCACATGGATGTGTATGTCGCGTTGGTGTCAGTATATTTAGTATCTCACCCCTACTACATCTGTAGTAACACTAGCTTCCCAAGTGGATGTGGATGTCGTGTTGGTGTCAGTATATTTAGTATCTCACCCCAACTACATCTGTAGTAACACTAGCTTCCCGCATGGATGTGTATGTCGTGTTGGTGTCAGTATATTTAGTAACTCACCCCAACTACATCTGTAGTAACACTAGCTTCCCACATGGATGTGTATGTCGCGTTGGTGTCAGTATATTTAGTATCTCACCCCAACTACATCTGTAGTAACACTAGCTTCCCAAGTGGATGTGTATGTCGTGTTGGTGTCAGTATATTTAGTATCTCACCCCAACTACATCTGTAGTAACACTGGCTTCCCACATGGATGTGTATGTCGTGTTGGTGTCAGTACATTTAGTATCTCCTCCAAACTACAACTGTAGTAACACTGGCTTCCCGCATGGATGTGTATGTCGTGTTGGTGTCAGTATATTTAGTAACTCATCCCAACTACATCTGTAGTAACACTAGCTTCCCACATGGATGTGTATGTCGCGTTGGTGTCAGTATATTTAGTATCTCACCCCAACTACATCTGTAGTAACACTAGCTTCCCAAGTGGATGTGTATGTCGTGTTGGTGTCAGTATATTTAGTATCTCACCCCAACTACATCTGTAGTAACACTGGCTTCCCGCATGGATGTGTATGTCGTGTTGGTGTCAGTATATTTAGTAACTCACCCCAACTACATCTGTAGTAACACTAGCTTCCCACATGGATGTGTATGTCGCGTTGGTGTCAGTATATTTAGTATCTCACCCCTACTACATCTGTAGTAACACTAGCTTCCCAAGTGGATGTGTATGTCGTGTTGGTGTCAGTATATTTAGTATCTCACCCCAACTACATCTGTAGTAACACTGGCTTCCCACATGGATGTGTATGTCGTGTTGGTGTCAGTATATTTAGTATCTCCTCCAAACTACATCTGTAGTAATACTGGCTTCCCACATGGATGTGCATGTACATGATGGTGTCAATATATTTAGAGTCTTACCCTCAAATACAGAAGCATCAGACACGTCACATTTCACAAAGAGGACATTGTCTGCTCCACTGGAAGCTTGTAGCTCCTTGGCAGTTGCCTCCCCTTGGTCCACTTTGACATCCGCGACACAAACCTGACAAGAAAAGGAACTAATATGTCAAACAGTGTATCTTCTTTCTTCAGATCCTTGCTTGATGGGTGAAACAGACATAGACTTTTATACAAGTTGGTCATTAACACCAGTGTGCATTTGTCTTCTCACATCTAAGAAACCTTATAGAAATCAGATCTTTCATTCCAATACGAAACAGCTTTACGTGAAGATCTGAGAACACCTCCATAAAACGACTGTATCTTGAACATGATGATATCGGGTAGTTCCGAATGCAAAACAATAAAGCCACGCTATTATATTGCTGAGGATATTGTATACATCCTGTATTTGATGAGCGCCAGGCCATCTACACCCAAAAGGGATTATCCCGAGTGCATTTGTGTTCTGGGGCAGCACTCCTTTGATGAGACCGAAATTTCAAAAATGGAGGATGTATAGAAATGAAGCCGAATCGTTTTGGTAGGTAACGTCTGACTGAACCCACGCGTCTTTCATTTAGATTGTGCGGTCAAAGTTCGTTCACGTGACGCGACTTCCTATGCAGATGTCCTCAGGTCTTCACACTGATACTTGGTTTTAAAAAGATTGAGACGTAGACATTGTAACTAGTAACATGTAAAAGTGTAGGGTTTTGTTGATTGCTGAATCGATATGTATTATAACCTTTTGAGTAACAGACAAGCAAAGTGGTGTTTGGGAGGCTCGTACAAATTCGGCTCACAAAATAAAATAATAGAATCCAATTATTGTCTCGAAAATAATATTGGAATCTGAACTCATCTGTAAATATCTCTGTAAAAGGAATATTCTCACTATGAGTCGTGATAGTGTTTTCTTTGACGTCTTGGATCGACCACATCACACCATGAGTTCAAAGATGTGATCAGAGCAAGAGGGTATTACTCCTCACATATAACGCGGTGGGAAATGCTACTAAAAATAATATTGAAGTGTTTTGTTTGTTTGGGTTGTATTTCAAGAACACTTTTACCTTTGCACCCTTCTTCAGCACAGCTTCAGCCACGGCCTTCCCGAACCCCTGTGCACCTCCAGTGATGAACACGACCTTATCTTTCAGCTGCATGTCGACGACAGGTATGCTGAAGGTGTACATATTATATATAAATGTAATTACTATACTGCTCTGTGAACAGGGCTACAATAGGTGTATGTTAATACATCGGACTGAAAACAACATTAAATTTCCACAACAGCTGTAAAACTAATAACATGATTATTGCATGGGGGGCATAGAAAACAATTTATATCATACGTCATGGCCAGATATATATTAAATGTCATTTAATTTGTTTCATATCCCTTTACTCTGTAATATAAACTGTTTACAATTGAATAAATCAAATCTATTTTCAAAATATGTACTGAAACTATCAGTGACAGCCCTTATCACAAAGCCTTCCAAAAATCATAACTAGCACCTGACGTTTTGCCTAGTGCTTCTGATATAACCTGTTGGGACGTGTCGAAATTTTGTGTCATCTTTATTCCAGTGGAAAGCAAAGTGGAGCTGCTTGTTGTTTAACGCCGCACTCAGCAATATTCCAGCTATATGACGGCGGTCTGTAAATAATCGCGTCTGGACAAGACAATCCAGTAACTGACATCATGAGCATCAATTTACGCAATTGGGATACGATGACATGCATCAACCAAGTCAGCGAGTTTGACCATCCGATCCCATTAGTCGCTCCTTACGATAGTCACTTTTAACGACAAGCACGGGTTGCTGAAGACCTATTCTACCCCGAATCGCAAGGCTAAGGGACGCAACTTTTCACAACTAAGGTGCGGCAGATTAAACAACACACACGCACAGAAACCTACCTTCACCCATACACCCTCACCATATTTAATAAACTACCACTCCTTAACTCACACAAACATCAAAGCCGCTGATATATTGTACTCCTTCTGCTCATTACAAAAAAAACTATTACAAAAAACAATCAAAGACCCCACGATTAGAACCCCTAGAAGACAAAATTAGATAATTTAACCGGTTGGATTTACAGGATTTGCTGTTCACCTTAAAACCCCTTCTATATCCAATAGCATGTCACCTTGACCCACAAATTCTATTTACTTGTACTTTAGCCTTGAATTATTTACAGACCTCACCCGTTTACCTTGTGCTATACGACAGACGTCCAAGTATGAGTGTCTGGTGTGTAAGCACGCCGGCGTTATAGACAGGATGTAACCAAAATATTATTTGTGTTCCACATAAAAACTCACCGCGTTCGTTGCCCGCTGCGATCGTGAATAGCAAGTCTCGGATTTGCTCAGAGCCCACGTCCCCGAGATATCGAACTTTGAACTTTGAACTTTGAACTTTGAACTTCGACACTATCGTGTGCAGCGACCAGAACTGGGTCAGTGAAGACGCCTGTCTAAAACTGGGACAGTTTGCAGGGCGATCGGTGAATATCTGTGCACACGCCTTCCTAGCGCTAGTGAGGACAGTTTACAAAGACTGCATGTTTGTTTGTTTGTTTGTTTTTTAACTCCGCGTTCAGCAATACTCTAGCTTTTTGACGACGGCCTGTAAATTATCGTGTCTGCACCAGACAAACCAGTGATTGATATCATGAGCGGATCAGTGATTGATATCATTTGGGATACGATGACATTCTTCAACCAAGTCAGCGATCCCGTTAGTCGGCTCTTAAGAAAAGCATAGTCGCCTTTACGGCAAACGTGGGTTGCTGAAGCGAGAATGATGTATGTACAAATATTGGTGTACCGGCGATAATGTTCCCGAACAATCTACGTACAACCGGTACATCCGACAGGGACGGGACATGTCAAACCACGGACCTAAGAAAGGTTATTTAGGTCCATGGTCAAATCCATTTCGCGACACCGCATGGTGCGTGTAAGTATAGGTGAAAACACACCGAGGTTTTGGTTGAAATTTTTTAACACCATTAGCTATAGTGTGTTTAATTTTTTCAAACAGAACCTCGGAGATGTTTAGAATACAGTTAGGGACATTCTCACGATCTCGACCTCTGAGAAGAAACTGAATATACACAAAGTTCGAGAACGCGAGCACGCCAGATAATGAAATCTCGCATTCTCGCATTCTGGCGATTTAAAGGCTTGCAGCCAGATTTGACAAGTCGAGATTGTGAGATTGCGATATTGCGATAAGCGATCATAGATCAAATGCAGAGACATGTAGCAGAATATGTGTGTGCATCGATAAATGATGTCAAAAACACAGCTACTGGTGTGATTCGTTTTATTAGATTATGCCCTTTCTTTCACACCCTGAAATGCACAATAACACTCAATAAGAATCTTGTAAATTATGACAATTAAAATGGGAACATGATACTTCATTAGGATAACCTTATACATATATAGAGGATATGTATACGTCCGAATATGATACATCATTAGAATTACGTTATACATACATATAGTATATGCATACATCAAATCAAAATACTTCTTAGGTGGTGTAAAACGTCATCAATAGATAAACATAATAATAATTATAATATATATTTACATGTGGTGATAAGTAAACATACCAGAAGTATGGCCTCTAGGTGTAGGTGACACTTTAGTCTGTCACGACTACATCATACATGGCCAGGGCAACAGTGACATCAAAGTACCTATAAATATGGAAGTTATTCTAAATGTACAATAAAACTAGCTTCCTTGCACAATGCTCTTGCACGTGTGGACATTATTATCAAATCGGTGCTATTGTTTATACATATTGACAGATCTGAACACAGCACTACCATAAAACACAATAAATTACTAAACATCCTAAAACTATCAGAAATGTCCACACACTTACAATACATTTTAACACATATATGATAATAGCCTCATAAACATAGTCAAACAACACTCTGTCCAGGAGAATCGGACATTGACTAAATCTCACACACATCATAACAAATACCTTATTTAACGTACACCTATTTATGTAATCTTATTTATGAAAAGATAGATTTATATATGTTTGAATATTAAATTGGAAACATACCTTGACTTTACAAAATCTGTAAAATGTGTCCACTTGCTGTCGCCTGTCAGTGACTTGTCTGTGTAGTGACTGAGGTGCAAGTGAGGGTTAAAAAGCATGCAAAGCTGACCCTTAGGAAAACAATAGGGTCAACCACTCAACCAGAACATTTGCACTGGCTGACACAAAGGAGCTGATAGAGTAGTGACTGAACCAAGCATAACTAAGTTAAAAGGTGTTGTATCAAATCTTCATTAAAATCCCTAAAACCCATACTGCAAACTAATACTAAATACTAATACTAAATACTAATATTAATAATAATACTAATGCCAATACTAACTACAGTATCAAGTTTCAACGGCTCATTATTTTGTGTAAATAAAGAACTCATCCTCCATCTGCCTGAAAATAAATCTGCTCAGTCCCCAAATAAAGTCTCGACCACAATATGGCCATCCTCTTCAATACAGAGTATTCCGTTAGTAAAGCCGTAATCTTTGATATCGAGACGTGAGCATGATAGATATTATGTCTGTAACACTTATTGATAATCATTTCAAAACTTCCATTTCAAGATGTCAGACAGTATTGTGTATGCCCACCTCGTCCTGAATTGACAGGGCGAATTATACTGCATTGCAGGAGTAAGGATGCCGCATTGGCCAGGCTACAGATGCTGACACCTCCAAACGGTTCGACATCTTGATTGCAATAACGTTCTTCTTACATCTGCCAGGAAAAGCTTGAATCTGTTCTCTCCTGTGAACATGACTCTTTACCAGTTTCTGTTCCACCAGCGATACAGTCTGTCAGCGTTACGTCTCGTATAGCTCTGTAGGCTCTAATATTCTACCGACACACTCTTCTGGACACTGTCAAGCGACTAGGAGGAAGGCTCAGCTGATGATGTCACAGTGATAATATCATTCCTCAGATGGAGGATACGCACGCAGCGTTTCCTGGATGGTGATGACAAGAGGTCTGCCACTCCAAGACCTGTCTCTCTTCCACCCAGTCTGCTTCAATCAGGCTATGCGCCTGGTGACTGTCATTAGTCTACAGCCAAAACCCCTTACGGCGTGGTCATGCGTTGCTCGTTGTTGTATCAGAACAGCTTGTTCTCTCTGTTGTAGAGTTAATCTTAGCATGACATTGTCCAACGGTTTGATACGCATGTCTTGTTTGTGGGTTGGCATGCTGTAAGTGCAGCCAAAGTTTAACTTCAAATTCAAGTTCCCTTGATCGGCGGCACGTTTATTAGTAGAATGCACTAACTTAAAAAAAGGAAACGGAATTGGAATAAGCCCATTCTGCCCCAGCAAGCTGTCAGCAAGTCTGTTCGCCCTACATGAAAGGTTTGTAGTTGTTCCCACCGACAGGGCCTCAAATAACACAACCATTATACGTTAATTGTTTGATCAAAGAACTTGGTATAAATGACATATCAAATAATGCCACATGTAACCTCTTTTGTACCGGATTCCAAAGCTACATACAAATCTGTACAAAGAGAGAGATTGACGAGTCAAGCAAATGTACCACCAAATCCCTGTCTCAAATACTAAGCATAACCCTTATTTCAATTCTTTATATCAGTATAAAGGTCATAGGCCCACGTACAAATACTCATTCAAAATACAGTATGAGGCAGATGCCAGAGGGTATTAAGTGACAGTATTTCGGATTGCAAGTGCTTCCAGTATATACTTAACACAATTAGTTACAATACTAGTGCGGTTACAAGATAAAAGTGTATTATATTTAATAAAGTAGGATTGGAAGAGTAATAAATAGGTAAATACTTATTTCTTAAATATCTGTAACATGGGCAGACAAGCATAAAATGAAACTCATCTCCAATTTCCTGTAAATTACAAAATCTGCACTGCCTATAACAGTACTCTATACCGCATCTTCTGCCTAAATTAACCATCAATGGCAACTCGCCAACTCTTAACAAACAAAACATACTTCTATAATGACGGCTTGTGATTTCACAGAGATACTTTTCAACTGTTAGCAATGACTTATATTCCTCATACATTGATAATTTACGTATTTCATCAACTTTACAATACCAGTTCTGTTGGTTACAATCTTTTAACCTTTGAATAAATGCATTAATAAAGAGGGTCTCATAACCAACTTCCTGCGAAAACCACACGTGGCCAAATCCATAACTGAATAATAATCTTTTGACACCAGTTACCCATGTATTGCGATTAACTTCATCTAAAGATTTCAGCATTAAATAACATTGCTTAGGGTATCTATAACTGGGTAAAGATAACAATTTCAACCAATATTTAATACATCTCTTGTGATAATCAATAAATAATCTTTATCTACCACATTCGCCAAGGGCAGCAACTTTTGTAACATGACTTCCAATTCCAATAGTAAATTTACAGAATTTAATCTGAAATTTTTCAATTGCTGCAATTTTGGAATAGCCCCATATTTCTGAAGTGTATAATAATACAGGCTTCATTTGACTGTTATATATTTTGAAAAGTATATGTACGGTTATGTTCTTCAAACAATGCTGTAATTTCTTAACGACAAACATAGCCTTATTTGCCTTCTGAACAAGAGAGCTGATACCAGTCGTCCAACACAGCCGATTTGAAAATAACAAACCAAGATAATTATAATAGGTAGATACATTAACATTAACATCTCCAAACCTCCATTTCTCAGTACTCCTATGTTTTCCACCATTTCTGAAATCTAAAATTTCAATCTTACTAAGGTTAACTTCTAAACCCCATTTAGTACAGAAAGACATAAGGATATTAAGTTTTCGTTGGAAACAAACTACAGTATCATCAATTATGCACAAATCACCGGCATACAATATCAACAAAATGTCTAGAGATTCTTGACTCACAAATATTCCCCTCTCGCCGGAGGACTGCAACATTGATTTTAATTCAACAATAAGCAAAGAGAACAATATTGGGCTAAGGGTGCAGCCTTGGCGTACACAACTTAGCGTTTCAAAGCAGCAAGTTGCTGTGCTATTTGATAACTTTACAGCCGATTTCACTTTTAAATACATATCTTTAATGACATAAAATAACTTTCCATGTATACCCTTATTTAACATGACATACCACAACAATTTTCTATTTACACAATAAAAGGTTTTTCGAAAAACAACAAATAAACAGTAAAATCTGCCATTAGCTTTAGATAAGTATTCCTGTATTAGAATTTGCAACACAAATATATTATCAATGGTGCTGTATCCAGCTCTAAAACCTGCCTGAGACTCTGGTATCTTATCGTAAATGTCACAAAACATAGTAAGCCGTTTATTAAGAATAAAAGTAAATATTTTACCCAATGCATCACTAAGTGTAATACCCCTATAATTGTTAACATCAAATTTGCTGCCTTTCTTATGAAGGGGAGTAAGTAAACCTCCAGCCCAATCCTCAGGAAAATTACCACTCTGGATAATAGCGTTATATAATATAACTAGATAAGGAAGAAGATTACCCTTGCAACACTTTATCATTTCTGGTAGAACTCCATCGGGACCAGCCGCCTTACCATCTTTCAAGTGATTAATAGCATGTAAAATCTCTGGTTAAGTGATTTCACAATCCAAAATATCATTTAATTCTTCATCATTGCAGACAAAACAGTTAAATTCCTCATGTTCATAAACAAAACTCTCAGCGGAAGCAAGATTATCATGATCAACATCATAATCAGTTATATTCAAAATATTTTTAAAGTAGGAGACCCATTCTGATGGAGCTATAAACTGAGTTGCCTTACTGTTTTTTTATACCAGTCCCTTCACTTGGTTCCAGAAGATCTTAGGACTACAAGTATGAGACATTAAATCCTCAAGTAATCGCTCTTCAAAAATCAATTTCTTTTGTCTACACATATTTCGATACGCATTTCTTAACTGTCTAATCTGTTGTAGATAGTTCAGATCACCAGTTATTCTAAACATATTAAGAATACGATATTTCTCATATTTCAGCTCTTTACATTCGCTATCATGCCATATTGCTCCTGAAAATGTACATATGTTTGAACTTGTAATTACCTTCATATCACTGACAGAAGCACAAGTAATGATCAATGGTGTCAACTTTGTAACAGCACAATCAACACCGCTAGAAATATCACCCATGAAATCATCAAAACTATATGATGATTGCGAGTCGCGAAGTAACTCAGAAAACGCTTCAGCCTTACCAGCACACCATCGGTATCTACAACTAGATTCTGCATTATCAGCATTCGTGTTACTGATAACATTCTCTGTATCTGTAACAGCAAACTTAAACACAATGGGAAAATGATCTGACTCACATCTTGTGGCTACACTGAAATCATAATTCAGTACTAAATAAGTCAGATGAACATAAACAATAATCAACCATGCTGGCACCCCCACCAGCAAAGAATGTAAAATCCCCGCGGGGATCTGATATTGTTCTCCCATTCATCATATGTATATCAAGAGAACAGCATAAATCTATTAAATCACAACCATAGGAGTTTACATGATCATCTGTCCACTTTCTAGATATGCTAAAACTGTCAGTTTTATAATTCAAATCTTCCAGTGAAAGAATGTATTTGTTGCCATCCTGTAAAATAAAATCCTTTAAGTTGCCTGTTCTAGCATTCATGTCACCCATAATCACAAAAACAAAGTCTTCAATATCAGCATCTGTGATGCACGAGAGCAAACAGTTTTCTAAATAATCAATCCCTTTCTGCAGTCTTGGGTCGCTCCGGACGGATGAATATACAGGGTGAATATACACACACCCATATAAAATATCATATGTGTAACCAAAATGTTTCTTATCCAAAAGCACAAAAATACAACAGTAAAGTCAGACCAGATCTTCTTGATGTATTGACTTGAAAAATGGCTAACGCAAACGGCAACACCGCCTCTGTTATTAAAGTCCCGTTGGTTAATATACTTAGACAAATTAAAAACTTCACATTTTTAAAAGTAACCCCATATATGATATACAACGGACAAATGTATCAGAGAAGGTAATTTTTAATCATTAATGTCTAAAGAAGGATTTTAATTTACGGTGGTAACCATAATTTGTTCCAAGCACCTACGGTATTCGGTAATAACATCAACAGTTTAAATCATTAGTCCCAAGCACGAGAATCTGATGGCACACAAGTTCAGTTGCCTGTATAGTCACCATGTGGGTTGACAACTGCCACACAACGCCTCCACATGGACCTTGTGATGCTTGTGAACACATGATTGGAACGACGACGCCATTGTTGCTGCAAAATGGTGCTGAGATCTTGCAAATTCTGTGGTTGGTTCTGGAGAGTGCGCAGACTTATGCCAAGAGCATCCCAGACGTGTTCGATGGGATTGAGGTCGGAAGACGTTCATGACGGCGCCTCCACACCCTCGCCCTACCATCAGCAAATGGAAGATTAAATCGGGATTCATCACTGAAGACGACTTGATTCCAATTCCTCTGAGTCCATCGTAAATGTCGCTGTGCCCACAATTGACGTTGACGTCTGTGTAATTGAGTCAGAATCGGCCCGCAGTATGGCCGTCGTGCTTGAAGGTGAGCAGTTCTCAGACGGTTTCGAAGAGTTTGCGCACTCAGTTCATTTCTGGTTGATGTAGCCGTCAAAATCGGTTACGGAGGTGACGAAAGACAATCTGACGATCCTCTTCATGTGACGTCACACGTGGTCGACCTGGCCGAGGGCGATCAGCGGTGGTACCCGTTTGCTGTAGACGCGTCTGTAAATCATAAACAGTCCGTCGACTACAACCCATCGTCCTTGCGACTTCAGCTACGGACGTTCCCGTCTGCCACATGACGGTGGCACGTTCACGTTGCACATTTGAAAGGCGTGGCATGACAAATGGCCGTAAAGATTTTTGTTTTCTTGTGTATTTCTTTTATTGTTAATGACTGCTAACAAGTATGGGTGTAAACACGTGCGGTATTATGGTCACGTGACCAGTTGCACGTGAAAAAACACTTTTGCCACTATAGTGCTGTGCACATGATTTTGATCGATTCACCTGCACAAAAACGGGTGTTATCTGAAGACAATACGTGGTCATTACTGTTTAAATACACAGTAAGGGCCCACAATGATAACTGGTCAAAATGTTAAAATTTTAGGATTGTGAAGTTTTTAATTTGGTTCAGTATATAAACAGTACGGTTTGTAAATATAGAAGAAATGTCATCTTTATTTACATTGTTCCTTATTTCAACAAATCCAATGACATCAAACTTCAGACAATAATGTATAAAGTCAGAGTCAGCTGGTTTCTGTTTCAAACCATGAACATTCCATGTTACTATTTCAAACCAAGTACTCACATCAATCTCTGGCGGCAACTGGTGGACCGGGCCATCTTCCTAGCTTATGCCGGGCGAGCTGATGACATCATCAGACGCACTCACTGCACGTGAAAGTCCTGGCTTGTGACCTGATTTGACAGTTGTGACACAGTCTAACCCCAGGTCATAGGAATAAAAATTATCCTCAGTATACAGCTTATCAAACCGCAAAAATACCTTCAAACCTGATTCACGCGCCTGAAACATCTTCGGGAGGAGTTTCTTTCTCTTCTGTCGCACCAATGGGGAGAAGTCCTCAGTAATAAACATACCAGTGTCCTTCAAAGCTTTAGATGCCCTCAGAATAGCGTGTTTGTCCTTGTCGTCTGCTAGCTTAACAATAATAGCCTTCCCCTTCGTAATGCGATGTGCCCTTTGAATGTTCACATCATCTAATAACTGCAGGTCGTCCCTAAGGACATTTTTTACAATCAGTTCACAATCAGTCCATGACTCTGTTTCATTACCTCTCGGGACACCGTGAAATATCAGATTGTTACGCCTGCTCACATTCTCAAGGTAATCACGTTTGTCATCCATTGCTTTCATCTAATCTTTCAAACGAAAATTTTCCTCTTCTAGGGCTTGACATCGGTTATTAGTCTCAGAATTCTGCTCTAAAACCATCTTCACTGTACTCTCAACAGTCTGAAGTTTCAGATTCATATCATCATTAGAACGCTGAATTTTGTCTATCTTACATGACACTCTTCTCAGTTCATCCAACACAGTTTGTAAAGTTTTTTCACTTGCCTTTGAGGATAATGTAAGTTGCTTCTCTCCACCTTTACCACCAGTAGTAGATCTAGTTTGTACGCCATCATTAGAATCCGGACCTGGGTTGGGTTCGACACCTCCCATCAGTAACAGCATGAGAATGAGGTTCAGCACAACCAAGCGGGTATGTATACCAACCAGCGCGTAAAAACGAGGGATGCGTCCACGTCTGGCCTTATTTGCTTTTCTCGTCAATATCTTGATGATGACTGTAGCAAATCCTCCTACAGCCACCCGATATTGTTCCAGACACATTCCCATCGTTGTATTTCAATAGTTTATATATCACTGACCTCAAATTCTCTTTGAAATACACTTTCACTTCAGACACATGGGTGAGTCGACTACCCAGTCCGCCATCTTACCACAAGTTAATACCCTTAATACAATCAAGGAAGGACTACTTTCTTTATATTCAGAGAAAGTATTTAAGACAGGTGGAATTAATATCATATGGATTCTCAAAAACTCAAAGGATTTGCTTGACGTTCTGCAATCTCACAAAAGAACCAAGTTTCATTCTGTCAAAACATTTGATTTCTCAACTTTGTACACCACTATCCAACATGACAAGCTTAAGGAAAAACTTCATTCCTTGATCCTTGGGGCTTTTGTTATAAACACGTCTTGACTACAGATACAGTGTACATTACACAACTTTTGAGACACACTCGAGCATGATCTCTCTACCAAGAATTCAAAGAGCGTCGTATGACTCTTGCTCAGAAGTTATTTGATCAATGTTACACCACTCAAGGCCTCAGTAAAGCTTTCAAAACATTTTATGGTAGACATGTGGAGGACATTTCCAAATTTGACGCATCAGTGACAAAAATGATGCCCGATGCAAAAACCTATTTTAACTTGTACCATATGTTCCAATGTTTATTCAGGTGAACATTTGACATCCCTTTGCATGTGTTTGTGACGGGTACCACCATTGGGGCAGGATACGCTCACCTCTTCGCGAATACCTGGTATCATCACTATTTAATAGTGATTCAGAAACACATGCTCATGATATAGTCGGAATCGTACAATCGACTCTGCGTTATGCAGTGATTTCTATTGGATATGGAAAAGGTTTTGTCGCTTTATTTACATGAACCAAGTCGATTTGTCTCCTGTTGGACAGTTTGTCCCCGAGACATATCACAAGCTTGATACCATTTACCATACAAATGTTGAATGAACAAAATAGACACTGTTTGGCCCGAGACAGCTTTGTGGTCTTTTAAAAATGGTCTTTTATCATACAAAAATGCTTTATAATACTTCTATATTCAATGTTCTGTTTTCGGGTGTCTCCCTGCCCCGATATTGCTGGAATGAAGCTAAAAGCGGCGTAAATCCATACTCACTCACTACATATTTCACTCTGTTTCGACGGATATTCTCTAGTGTTGATGTTATATATTTGTGTATGTTTTCGTCGCAAATAGCTGAAAGATTGCTGATGTGGCGTTGAACAATAATTACTCACTAAGTCAGGTTTATTTCATGATTATAAATATTTGAAATGCTGGCCTAACATCTATGTAAAATTTGGGGACAGGCCATTCAGGCAGGAAGGGGGCACAGGTGGCCCTGTCGTCTAAGGTGACGCAATTCGCTGGGCACGCATGATTGTCGGTTTGAATCCCGGTTCGCCCAGTTTATGCTTCTAGATTTGTGAGCAAACTCGTGGGTTTCACCAAAGTAAACGTCTAAGACCTGCATCATATGGCATCCCCATTGGCAACAATTATGCTCCCCGTCTTGATGATCTGTTTCTTTATGGTGGCGTGGTCGCCAGTCATCTAGGGTGTCGCAATTCACTGTGCAAAGGGTTCGATTCAGGGTTCTAGGTTTGTCAGTACCATACCCATTCTCGTTGGTTTCACCAAAGTGGTAAACGTCTGAGACCTGCCTTACTTCGGGCTTTCCTCCCACATTAAGCTGACACGCTGTGATATAACTGGAATACTGTTCAAAGGGGAGTAAAACCTAACTCACGCACGTAAACTATATATATGGAATTGAATAATTTATAATGCATATTAAACCAAGTATCTTGAAGGGAAAAAAATAAGGCAATATTAGTGACAAAAAACGTTAAAACCTACTCGTATTCCGGAAACTACCGAGAGTTGTGCCAGGTGTAGATTGACGCTTACCATTGTCAAAACATTGTTAATTGCATTTAGCTTACTACCTGCATAGTGGCTCTTCTCGTCTTGGCAAAAAAAACATCCATCGTTATTAACATTGACTACCATATACACTCTTTAAAAATAGAAATGCACAGGTAGTATGTAGTTCATTGAACCAGACTACACACATCGAACTGGATATATGTTATTGGAAATGCTGGTGGCCAGATATTCGACAAACGGTGAGTCAAAACGCAGCCATTGTCGCTTTGCAATGTTTTAAACGGCATTGTTTTCACAGTTGTTCAAAAATGCCATGGAGGAAAACAGTAAAGCAAAATGCATGTGCAAGATGGCATTCGTAACTCGTAGAAGTGGCTATAAAAAGGGAAGCATAAGCCAATAATTTGTCATTCAATTGTCAACATTTTCGAAAATGTCGAAACGCTGCCGATCGGAACATCGCAATAGGACGTATCCAAAGTTCGGAATCTTCTGTTGCAGGCAACTTCTACGTCCGCCACAGCACTATTTGCCGCCTTTGGGACCGATACACACAGTTCAATTCCACTGCAGACCGTCCGAGAACCGGCCGACGAAGAGTTACCACCCCAGCACAGGATCGCTACATTCGACTGTTACACCTACGTCATCGCAATGCCACAGCTACGGTGACTACAGGAAGCATCCCTGGTTTGAGGAGGTTATCGGTCCAGACTGTCAGCGAAGCTGAAATCCGACCCAGAAGACCAGTTATCGTCCCCGTTTTACCACAGATCAATCGACAGCGACGCTTGCGTTGGTGCCTTACCTAACAGCCTTGGAATTTGAGAAACTGGAGAGGGGTGTGGCTAAGCGATGAATCATGATTCCTTCTTCACCGGCGAGATGGAAGACAACAGGTTTATCGTCGTCGAAATGAGCGTTTAGCCCCACATTGTGTACGTGAATTCGACAAATTCGGTGGCGGTAGTATCATGGTGTAGGTGACCATATCCTACACCACGAGATCTGACTTGGTTGTGGTTCAGCGAAATTTGACAGCAAATCGCTACATGAATCAAGTTCTTCAACCTCACCTTCTACCAATCATTGACCGCCACAGGGAGCTGTTTTAACAGCGCTCCACCGCACACAGCTCGTGTCACGGTAGACTACCTTGATAATGCCAACATCAACATTTTGTCCTGGCCGTCGATCTCATGAAGCCAATCGAACAACTCTGGGATGAACTCGATCGACGTGTACGTCAACGTCAGAACACGCCGCAGACACTTCCACAACTGACCAACACTTATCCAGTCAGTGCGGAGAAGATCCAGAGCTGTGATTGCTGCCCGGGGCGGTCACATGAGTGCAGCGCCACCTGTGGCCTTATGTGACATGACAATGAACAGTTTTCAATGCCTCTTTACACCGTCAACATGTGACTATCGCGCTCCAAAATTTCATATTTGTATCTATGATATTAAAGTAAATATATCGACTTTATTAGGTACAATAAATTGTAAAATCGACCTGTGCGTGTATAAGTGAGAGACACAAACGAAGAATAAAATCAATTTATGTTACAACAAATAAATGAACTAAAACTGACAAAATCACACTAAAAATACCTATCACATTATAATTTCTCTCAAAATGTACACCAAATTCACATTTTTCTAACCTAAACAAGTTTTTTTGGTCGAACAATAACGTATCCCAGATTAAGACAGAACAAACCACCACAACCCCATCCTTTCGAAAGCTTCCCTCCCCAACGAATGTAAAAGCACAGTTAGTTTGAGAAAAACTGGATCCGCCTCTGATTATTAATAATCGATAATATAACCAATAAAAATGACACAGAAATACTTTTTGTCACATTGACATATATCGTATAATCATTCCCGAGGCAAATGCATGTACTTGATAAGAAAAAATATTTTTTATTTTTCATGCCTAAGACATTTTCATTGATGTCATCTATCCTGTTTTCATAAACAAAAGGTGTATATAATGTACTAATAGTCTTTTTTTTCAAAATGAGGGCTCAATTAATTTCCGTGCTCAGAGATACTGTGCATACAGAATATTCTCAGCTTTAAGTCTAGTGTATTAAAGACGAACACCCTTTTGCTACCAATTGATCAATGATGACTTACATTTTCCACAGGTTCATTATACAGTTTCGGAAATCTCTCCCGTCACATATATCATGTGGGCCATTTAGATGTCTTGAACTTGATGTAAATGTACTATGACGAGCTATCGCTATGACTGATTAACTGAGTTAGTTCTAAATAATCCTTTCTCCTCTAATAATGATATTATTTGAGTATATTTACTCTAAACAAACTACAAATACGCATACGCTCATGTCACCTCTCTTTTTGAGGAACTACTTTATTCAGCGATACCGGTTGTTGTATACTTGTAAGTGTAAACAAGAAGACGTACAAAATAGAATTGTGCATAGATCTACATCCTTCGAGGTATAAAATAGTAAAAGCAAATCAAGAACAAACCTGAAAAAGGAATATAAAGGCTTTTAGGTGTCACGGCTAACTAAACACATACCGAAGTTCATTTAAATATTGACTTTCACAATGTGTGGGTTTATTGGAGTTTGAACCTTCAAGGAGTGATGGCCAAACATTGTATTTGAAGCTCCGACGTTGATACAGTTTGGCCCTCACTCTACGAAGGTTCATACTATAATGAAAGCGTTTATATTCTTTTTTTTCAGACAATTTACGTTTCGTTCTTCCAAAAAAAGCTTGTGTGCTACCTTTCGAATAATATATCTACAAAGGGGCATTTTTAATGTTTGTATGATGGGTATTTTCTTGGGACTATTTCATGTGGTATATATCTTGGTATTACTCCGCGGGGATCAACGTCATCTTCATCTTTTCCACACCTTCTTTGCCTTTGATGGTGATGGCTGTGCCGTTGATGGTGTCGTCCTCCATTGCCAGCAGGAATTCCTCCACCACCTGGTCTACCCTGCAAAATACAGAAGACACGTGGACAAGCGCACCATGACATTGGCCCAAGTTCATCAGCTCCCAAAGCGGAAGGTGTCTCACTCACTGAGGGAAAAACGTGTCATTTCTTATTATAGTATCGGTATATATATATTTTGATAATGTTAATATTCGTGCATACCTGTATGGACAGATCAAGATAAAACCACTTGTGGAGATATGGATATCAGTGCTATGGAATGTCAAAAACACATATGGAAATATATACGGCAAAATAGCAGTTGCAATTATAGGAATGGATCACTGAAAATCAATGATCATATCAGGCGTTCGTGAACAGGATAAACGTATCCTGCCCTATCGGTAGCACCCGCCACTCACAATTTGTATAAAAAGGTATGTTCAGAGCGTATGGTATTAGTTCTACAAACAATCGATACGTCATATATTTGCGAATACCATTATTAACTTTACCTATAACAGATCCGTACTTACCCGCAAAACTCATAACGATCTATAAACTGCTTGAAATGTTCGTAGTTTATAACCTTTTCTTCAATACAATCCAGAAGAGCTGTCTTAGCTCCCGGCGGGCAGATACTAACCATTCGAACATCAGCTGACTTCATATCAGGGTTTTCCTGTTGAAACAATGATATTTCATTGTGTGTGTGATAGTTAAGCGTCATACACTAATTAAAATGTTTATAACTACAGTTTCATAGCGGCCTGAAACACAACTTTCTCTTTGTTATTTCCATTACATGACACAAGAGTTTGTTTCAGCAACTGAAGAGGGGGTATGAAGAAGTAGTTTATTCGGTATCAAAGGCCGCATCGCCAAGAGGACAATACATGAGATACACTTTTGCACATGGGCAGGTGGGACAACTGTTTTACTATCTCAATACAATATGTATGATGCATTATACAGGCAGATGTCTTTTCAAATATATACCAATATCTTTAATTAGCTTAACATTTTTTGTTGCTACTAGTTGCTTAAATTTCTCCTCTGATGGATACTTGTAATAGTAGCTTGGGATGTAGAGCTTTCTGTTTTCCATATAAAATGGACAAACTAAAAGGAAATGGTATTCATCCTCAGTTATATTATGATTACATTTCTTGCAATTTAGTAAATCAGTATTTACTTTGTATTTGTAACGAAAGTGTTGAATACCCAACTTATGGCTCAAACATCGGAATTTAAATAATATGCGGATAAGATCTTTGTTTGGACATAACTCCATAATATATTTCTCTGGTTCGAGTGCAGACTTAAAAGTAGAATACTGGTTTAGAAATGAGGAAGAAATAATTTTAGCATGCCAATTCTGAATCTCTATGTCTTTACATCTTTGCTTAAAACATTGTATAAACTTTGATATGCTGCCACACTCCTGTGCAATCCAAACATACGTAAATCCGGTTTCTAATAGCAGCAAACGAACATGTGTTACCCAGTTGTGGCTGCCGTTTTCATCCTGTAATTTCAACATGTCATAACGTGCTTTTGGGTATCGATAACTATCCATATACAACAGCCTGCACCACTACTCAATACAGTGACTAAAATTATTAACACATAAGTAGGTTCTACCTACTTCGCCTAGTTCAGCATTGGTTGATACTTTTCTATAAACACACAAATACCGTTTAAAGTAAAAACTCTGGATTCTTTGAATATTTGCACGAGAAGTGTAACCCCAAATTTCCAAACCATATAACAATATGGAAGCTTTTTTTACTGTCAAATATTGTAGATGCTACCTTTAGAGAAATGTTTGGATAATCCTTTAATAAGGTAATAATTGGAAACGAAGCCTTTCTGGCTTGAAGTGCTAATGTTTCACACGCTTTTGACCAAATTAATCTGGATGTGAAGACAATACCTAGATATTTATAGTGGGATACTACTTTCATATGTTAACCATTTTAAGTCCATTTTTGGGTATTTCTTAGGCATCTGCCATTTCTAAAAAACAAAACAATACACGACTTCTCCAGGATAACATCTTGACCCCATTTGTTACAATAACCTTTTAACACATCACGTTTTCTTTGTAGGCCTACATTACATTGTCATCAATCAATGTTACGTCATCTGCAAAAAATAGCAGTATGATATCGTTTAGTCCATGTCTGACAAAAACGCCTCTCAGTCCATATTTCTTCATTTCATCTACAAGCTCATTTATAAAAAGTATAAATAAAACAAGACTCAACATACATCCCTGGCGTACTCCTAATGATGTTGTAAATATTTCAGTTCTCGGATCTCCGATTCTAACACATGCTGAGACCTTGTCATACATATCTTTTAGAATTCTAAACATTTTCCCATGTACACCTTTCATAAGAAGTACATACAATAGCTTATTTCTGTCAACAAATGCCTTACGAAAATCAATGAAAGCTGCAAAGAATCTGTGTTTTGGTTTTCCCAAATACCTTTGACACAGTGATTGTAGGACAAATACATTGTCAATTGTAGAAAAGTCATGTCTAAAACCTGCTTGACATTCATGTACTACTTAATGTACCTGTTGTCATATCCTTATTCTGGGGGCGGTCGGGTAGCCTAGTGGTTAAAGCGTTCGCTCGTCACGCCGAAGACCCGGGTTCGATTCCCGACATGGGTAAAATATGTGAAGCCCATTTCTGGTGTCCCCCGCCGTGATATTGCTGGAATATTGCTAAAAGCGGCGTAAAACCATACTCACTCACTCCTTATTCTGGATTCAAGGATAGATCTGAATATTTTACCCATTACATTTAGCAAAGAAATACCACGGTAATTATTTGGATCATAAACATCCCCTTTTTTTACAATGGGATAATCATGCCGACATTCCAACTATCGGGAAAAACACCGCTTTTCAATATGGCATTGAATAATATTTCTAAATAGGGTAAAATTGAATTAGCGTGTTTAAAAATTCGGGTGGTATACCATCAATACCCAGGGTTTTTTCCCATTTTCAGTGACTTGATTCATTTCTCAATCTCCTCTCTGGTAATACGTTCTGACAGATTATCCATACTGTTACTATAAGAATAATCACCACCGTGATGTGTCATATAATCATTGACAGTTGCACCAAACCCATCACTGCTGTTACAACGAGTCGGGTTTAGTCAATCTTTAAAATATATAAACCACTTCTCTGACGGGATATGTATCTTCTCATTACGGTACTGTAACAGTGCTTCTTTTATTTTAAACCAAAAGTTCTTACAATCGCCATCTGCAACTGCTGTACTAATATCGTCCGCGATCGCATTGTTGAAATGTTGGCACTCATCTTTACACAAAAGACGGAAGTGTCTCTTAGACTGAATATACCTGTCAAATTATCATTTGTTCGACATCTCCAAAACGTATTTAGACGACAATGTTTGGTTTCTTTTACGACTCACATTCAGTAGAGGGGAATGTCCGAGTAACTCTCCATTCCTTAAACAATAATGGAGCAGAGGTCCCGCAGGGGCCGAGGCCCATTATTTTTAAGGAATTACGAGAGTGTGTTACGAGGATATTCCCCTACTTAAAACTCATCCCTACTTTTACACTTTGACAAAATATTCTGTAGTTGAAAATATTTGAAATATTCAAATGCTGCTTCAAGATAATGTACAGTTGACAAGCAACTCTCCATTCCTGAAAAATAATGGAGCGTTCAAACAATAGAATGGCGTCACAGATGTGTTTTAATTTCGGTTGAACACGTTTTAAACCCTGTCGACTGTTACAGTTAACTTTAAGATGATTCCCCATATGTTGCAAGAGCTCCACTAGCTACTCAGTGGCAGCATTAACATTGAAATGTACTAATAGCAGAAAATCATTCACAATGTTACACGATACTTCAGATATTTCAGCTTCATTGAATTGTGTACGTCCTAGATCAACCCATTTCTATTTCAGCACGTCGTCACGTATTACACTACCATCGTTTGCGACATAACCAGCACTTGAATTTAATTTAACTTGTAAAATAGGCTTGATCCATTACTTGTAATACACATGACTAAACCTACTTCATCACCTTTTCTCCTACCATTTACAATGTGTATTCCCCACGCGTTGATTAAAGGGAAATAAATCTCTCCTAAAGGTTTAATGAATGGCAACGCATATCAGCTTTGTCTGAAGAGAGGATCCCAGTATACGTTATGTTTGTCTGTACTGTAAGCGGGGCGTTTGGGTAGCCATGTGGATAAAGTGTTCGCTCGTCACGCCGAAGACGCGGGTTCGATTCCCACATGGGTACAATGTGTTAAGCCCATTTCTGGCGTCCCCGCCGTGATATCGCTGGAATAATGCTAAAAGCGGCGTAAAATCATACCCATTCACGCACTCCCTATACTGTAAGCATAACACTATTTATTTGTTCATGTTATACCTCCTGATACAAGAGAGGGAGAGGGGGTTGTAATGATAATAAGTGTGTGTATACAAGAGTATAATGGAATGAAACATATTTGAAATTCACTTACTGCCCAACTCGCAGTGAAATGGTAAATAGCACTCTTGCTGGCTGCATATGTAGGAGCCCACGGAAAAGGAAGAAAGCCTTGATAAAGAGCGAAAGAAAGAATTACTCTGAAAGTATATTAACATTCAGAAGAGATTCATATTCAAGCAAGTTATAGTATCACAGCTCCTGTGTTCTTCCAAAATAAGCGTCCAAAGGTTATTTGTGTCATGTACGTAACAAGGTGATCGGTCGTTACGTGGAGGAAGTCACTGCCAATATATCACCATAAGATGTTGTTTGTTGTTTAACGCCGCACTCAGCACTATTCCAGCTATATGACGGCGGACTGTACATAATCGAATCTGGACCAGACAATCCAGAGATTGACTACTTGAGCATCGATCCACGCAATTGGGATACGATGGCATGCATCATCAACCAGCCGATCCCGTTAGTCGCCTCTTACGACAAGCACAGTCGCTTTTTACGGCAAGCATGGGTTGCTGAAGACCTATTCGACCCCGGATCTTCACGGGTGTCATCATACGATGTACATGTGAACACATGCAGTAGCTTCCTCCTCCTCATACCTACATCCCCCATCCCGTCTCATTCCATCCCATTACCCACACGCTTGCCAAGCACCCAAGAAAACACAGTTCTCTGAGGTCCAGCAGAAAGGTTACTGTACCACAAGGATGACCACTTCATACCTGCAGTTGAAGCGGTATTGATGATGACACCGCCTCTACCCCCTTTATCCTTCCTCATGTGATTCAGCGCCATCATGGTCCCCCGCACAACGCCACCCTGGGAGTAGACAGCAATAACGACATATGACGGTAAAAAGATATAACATTTATGAAGGGGTGATACATGCAAGTTAGTCATGCAGAATAACGCTGCGTACACATGTTAGATAATGTACGTTTACCAACTGTGTCAAGTCAAGATATAGTACGGCAATAACTTACCGATGAAGACATGGTAAAATGGTGACAAATGAAACTTTTTGTGGATAAAAGCTAAGATTCCAAACACTTACGATGTTGATTTCGAGCTGTTTTTCCCATATTCGTTCATCCATGATGCCCGCATTGTTGCACATGACATCAACGTGACCAAATTTGGAGACGGCAGCTTTGAAAGCATCTGTGTGACAAAATGCTCATGATCACACATGTTTTATTGTGAACTTAAGAAGATGAAGCTGCAAGTTATGTGATGCAAAGTAAGAACGTTGACTTTCACTGAACAATATGGTCAGGCTTATTCTCATTAGACATTAGAGTTATGGATGTTCAACAGATGATATTGTCAAATGGATTTTGAATATATTGATAGTTATTCAAAACATTTCAGAATCCCTTGTATATATATAACGATTCATTTGGCTATTCATTAACAAAGATAATGATCTCCGTATAACATGAGTGAGAATCTGCGCTCGCCGTCGGGGCACCATGACTTGTCATGTCATATCCCAGACTTGGTTTCAATTGGATTTGAAAATACAAATTGGTGTTAATTGGTCCTTATAAATCCATACAAAGAGCGATATATTGTTAGGTCAAAAAAATGTAGACCAAATACATGTCTCAAAGATTAAACGTAATCCTTAATACAATCAAGGCATTTCTTTCACAGAAAGTATTTGAGACAAGTGGTATTAATAACGTGTATTCTAAAAAAATCAAAGGATTTGCTTGAATTATTACAATCTCGGAAAAGGACCAAGTTCAATTATCAAAAAACATTTGATTTTTCAACTTTGTACACCACAATCCAACACGACAAGCTTAAGGACAAACTTGAACCATGGGTCTTTTCTCACGTGGTGACTATACCCATTAACATATATATCTTCAAACGTTTAGGGCCGCCTCCGTGGTCTAGTGGTAGAGCGTCCGCTCGGAGAACGGAATGTCCGGGTGTTCGATCCCCGGCCGCGTCATGCCAAAAGACGTTAAAAGAAAGTATTTGTTGTTGCCTTGTCTGGTGCTTGGCGTTAAGTGGTTAAAACAAGTACAGTATACTATGCCTGCGTGGGGTATTCATGGAAAACAGCGGCATGGGGTCTCTGTGGGCTAGCACCATGAAATCGGCACCAGTCCGGTCTACTACAAGAAGCCACACACACGTGCATGCACGTCGCAATATAAGTGCAATAATCTTTCACGCGACGTTAAACCCCATTTCACGCCACTTCACCTCAAACGTTCAGGACAATTTGTCAAAAATGAAAGCAAATGACAAGTGAAGTCTACTGTCATAACTTGTGAAATTTGGGGAAAGGACGTTTCAGCAAGAATATTTCATTGTGCATTTAAATCGGAAACTCTGCTCAGACTGGCAGAATGAAAGCAAGGTAATTTAAACTTACTTAACTTAAGCTTCAGGTATAGCGATGATATCATTCAAAATGAACCAATGGACAATGTCCTTCAACATTTCCATTCATTTACCCACCTCAACTAGAACTAAAAGAGACCAGACCCGTGAAGATTCCGGGGTAGAATAGGTCTTCGGAAACCCATACTTGCCGTTAAAAACGACAATGCTTGTCGTAAAAGGCGACTAACGGGATCGGGTGGTCAGGCTCGCTGACTTGCTTGATGCCTGTCATCGATCCCAATTGCGTGGATCGATGCTCATGATGTCAATCACTGGATTTTCTGGTCGAGACTCGATTATTTTTACAGACCGCCGTCATATAGCTGGAATATTGCTGAGTGCGGTGTGAAACAACAAGCAAACAAACAAACGAACATCGAGCACGTTCCATTTACGAAAATTTCAAAAAGCGTCATATGATTCTTGCTCAAACACCCTTTCAACATTCAAGGCCTCAGTAAAGCTTCCAAAACAAATTTTGTTCGACATGTGGAGGACCATATAAAAAATGAACAAAGGTGAACAATGTAATTGCCTTTGCATGTGTGTGTTTGTGATAGGTGCCACCAATGGCGCAGGGTGTACTTAACTTGTCGCGAACACCTGGTATCATCATTTTTTTATTGTGATTCATAAACACATGCATATGATGTAGATGATATATTGTGATAAGGGAAATGATTCTGTCGGTTTTATTTATTAATACCTGTTTGTTCGCAATACCAAAATATACATTGTAGCCAACTGATCCTTGTTTTCATATGTTTTTATTTCGCTTTGCTGCACCTCCTGTAACTGTAATAACGTATTGTGATCAATGATTCACATATACAGAGGTGTGTTTTGGCATGGTATTTCGCGAGACAGCTAAACATAATGTTCATTCCTAATATAGGATATTTGCTATCCCAGAAATCACAAGTATGATTTCCTTTATCATATAATGCCATTTTTAAGTTCTATCTTCAAAGTAAATATTTGCGTCTCTTACAAACGGTACTTAAACATTGCAAGTTTTCCTGTAATGTGTTCATTGACACATTACACCACAAGGTCAATACAGTTCAGAATACAATTTGTGAAAGTGTCTATACAATTGCCTACACATAAAAGTCTGCCTTGCCAGTCACAGGGTTGCCAAATGCAAGGAGATGTCGGACTGAGCGACAAAATGAAACAAATGGAAAAGACGGAGAGGTCTACAAGCACAGATATGTAAACTGTCCGCTAGCGTCCTCGCGGACAGACTTCGCCGTTTACGTTTTCAAAGTTACCTACACTTGTAAAATGTCTCAGCTAAGCCCTTGTTGGACCCTGCCTTTCGGTGTCTTGGACTATTATTGTAATATTGATACCAGTTAGCCAAGTAATGTGTCCAGAACACCGATGGTCAGTTCTGACTCGACTTCGTATAGACAAGGGCGACGCCAAGCTTTTTGTAAAGAACTGAAACCTTCCCATTATAAGATACAGTAAGGTATCTCCCCCCTCAAGCACAGTAGCATCAGACTAGCATCCCACATGGATGTGTATGTACATGTTGGTGTCAGTATATTTAGTATCTCACCCCAACTACAACTGTAATAACACTGGCTTCCCACATGGATGTGTATGTCGTGCTGGTGTCAGTATATTTAGTATCTCACCTCCAACGACATCTGTAGTAACACTAGCTTCCCACATGGATATGTATGTCGTGTTGGTGTCAGTATATTTAGTATATCATCCCAACTACAACTGTAGTAACACTGGCTTCCCACATGGATGTGTATGTCGTGTTAGTGTCAGTATATTTAGTATCACACCCCAACTACATCTGTAGTAACACTGGCTTCCCACATGGATGTGTATGTCGTGTTAGTGTCAGTATATTTAGTATCATACCCCAACTACATCTGTAGTAACACTGGCTTCCCGCATGGATGTGTATGTCGTGTTGGTGTCAGTATATTTAGTATCTCACCCCAACTACATCTGTAGTAACACTAGCTTCCCGCATGGATGTGTATGTCGTGTTGGTGTCAGTATATTTAGTATCACACCCCAACTACATCTGTAGTAACGCTGGCTTCCCACATGGATGTGTATGTCGTGTTGGTGTCAGTATATTTAGTATCACACCCCAACTACATCTGTAGTAACACTGGCTTCCCGCATGGATGTGTATGTCGTGTTGGTGTCAGTATATTTAGTATCTCACCCCAACTACATCTGTAGTAACACTGGCTTCCCGCATGGATGTGGATGTCGTGTTGGTGTCAGTATATTTAGTATCTCACCCCAACTACATCTGTAGTAACACTGGCTTCCCGCATGGATGTGGATGTCGTGTTGGTGTCAGTATATTTAGTATCTCACCCCAACTACATCTGTAGTAACACTAGCTTCCCACATGGATGTGTATGTCGTGTTGGTGTCAGTATATTTAGTATCTCACCCTAACTACATCTGTAGTAACACTGGCTTCCCACATAGTTGTGTATGTCGTGTTGGTGTCAGTATATTTAGTATCTCACCCCAACTACATCTGTAGTGACACTGGCTTCCCGCATGGATGTGTATGTCGTGTTGGTGTCAGTATATTTAGTATCTCATCCCAACTACATCTGTAGTATCACAGGCTTCCTGCATGGATGTGCATGTACGCGTTAGTGTCAGTATATTTAGTATCTCACCCTAACTACATCTGCAGTAACACAGGCCTCCCGCATGGATGTGTATGTAAATGTTGGTGTCAGTATATTTAGTATCTCACCCCAACTACATCTGTAGTAACACAGGCTTCCCGCATGGATGTGTATGTCGTGTTGGTGTCAGTATATTCAGTATCTCACCTCAAACTACAACTGCAGTAACACTAGCTTCCCACATGAATGTATATGTCGTGCTGGTGTCAGTATATTTAGTATCTTACCCCCAAAAACATCTGTAGTAACACTGGATTCCCACACGGATGCGTATGTCGTGTTGGTGTCAGTATATTCAGTATCTCACCTCAAACTACAACTGCAGTAACACTAGCTTCCCACATGAATGTGTATGTCGTGCTGGTGTCAGTATATTTAGTATCTCACCCTAACTACATCTGTAGTAACACTGGCTTCCCACATGGATGTGTATGTCGTGTTGGTGTCAGTATATTTAGTATCTCACCCTAACTACAACTGTAGTAACACTGGCTTCCCACATAGTTGTGTGTGTTGTGTTAGTGTCAGTGTATTTAGTATCTCACCTCAAACTACAACTGCAGTAACACTAGCTTCCCACATGGATGTGTATGTCGTGTTGGTGTCAGTATATTTAGTATCTCACCCTAACTACATCTGTAGTAACACTGGCTTCCCACATGGATGTGTATGTCGTGTTGGTGTCAGTATATTTAGTATCTCACCCCAACTACATCTGTAGTAACACTGTCTTCCCGCATGGATGTGTATGTCGTGTTGGTCTCAGTATATTTAGTATCTCACCCCAACTACATCTGTAGTAACACTAGCTTCCCGCATGGATGTATATGTCGTGTTAGTGTCAGTATTTTTAGTATCTCACCCCAACTACATCTGTAGTAACACTGGCTTCCCACATGGATGTGGATGTCGTGTTGGTGTCAGTATATTTAGTATCACACCCCAACTACATCTGTAGTAACGCTGACTTACCGCATGGATGTCTATGTCGTGTTGGTGTCAGTATATTTAGTATCTCACCTCCAACTACATCTGGAGTAGCACTAGCTTCCCGCATGGATGTGTATGTCGTGTTGGTGTAAGTATATTTAGTATATCTTCCCAACTACATCTGTAGTAACACTAGCTTCCCGCATGGATGTGTATGTCGTGTTGGTGTCAGTATATTTAGTATCTCACCTCCAACGACATCTGTAGTAACACTAACTTCCCGCATGGATGTGTATGTCGTGTTGGTGTCAGTATATTTAGTATATCTTCCCAACTACAACTGTAGTAACAGTGGCTTCCCACATGGATGTGTATGTCGTGATGGTGTCAGTATATTTAGTATCTCACCTCCAACTACATCTGTAGTAACACTAGCTTCCCGCATGGATGTGTATGTCGTGTTGGTGTCAGTATATTTAGTATCTCACCTCCAACTACATCTGTAGTAACACTAGCTTCCCGCATGGATGTGTATGTCGTGTTGGTGTCAGTATATTTAGTATCACACCCCAACTACATCTGTAGTAACGCAGGCTTCCCACATGGATGTGTATGTCGTGTTGGTGTCAGTATATTTAGTATCACACCCCAACTACATCTTTAGTAACACTGGCTTCCCGCATGGATGTGTATGTCGTGTTGGTGTCAGTATATTTAGTATATCACCCCCAACTACATCTGTAGTAACACTAGCTTCCCGCATGGATGTGTATGTCGTGTTGGTGTCAGTATATTTAGTATCTCATCCCAACTACAACTGTAGTAACACTGGCTTCCCACATGGATGTGAAGGTCGTGTTGGTGTCAGTACATTTAGTATCTCACCCCAACTACATATGTAGTAACACTAGCTTCCCAGATGGATGTGTATGGCGTGTTGGTGTCAGTATATTTAGTATCTCACCCCAACTACATCTGTAGTAACACTAGCTTCCCACATGGATGTGCATGTACATGATGGTGTCAATATATTTAAAGTCTTACCTTCAAAAACAGAAGCATCAGACACGTCACATTTCACAAAGAGGACATTGTCTGCTCCACTGGAAGCTTGTAGTTCCTTGGCAGTTGCCTCCCCTTGGTCCACTTTGACATCAGCGACACAAACCTGACAAGAAAAGGAAATAATATGTCAGACAGTGTATCTTCTTTGTTCAGATCCTTGCTTGATGGGACATAGACTATTATACAAGTAGGTCATTAACACCAGTGTGCATTTGTCTTCTTACAAGAAACCTTATAGAAATCAGATCTTTCATTCCAATACGAAAAAGCTTTGCGTGAAGATCTGAGAACACCACCATAAAACGACTATATCTGGAACATGTTGATATCGGGTAGTTCCGAATGCAAAACAATAAAGCCACGCTATTGTACTGCTGATGATATTGTATACATCCTTCATGTGATTATCGCCAGGGCATCTACACCCTAAAGGGTTACTATCAAGAGTGCATTTGTGTTCTGGGGCGGCTTTCCTTTGATAAGACTGAAATTTCAAAAATGGAGGAAGTATAGAAATGAAGCCGAATCGTTTTGGTAGCTAACGTCTGACTGAACCCACGCGTCTTTCATTTAGATTGGGCGGTCAAAGTTCGTTTAGAGTTCACGTGACGCGACTTCCTATGCAGATGTCCTCAGGTCTTCACACTGATACTTGGTTTTAAAAAGATTGAGACATTGTCACTAGTAACATGTGAAAGTGTAGGGTTTTGTTGATTGCTGAATAGATATGCATTATAACCTTTTGAGTAACAGACAAGCAAAGCCATGTTTGGGAGACTCGTACAAATTCGCCTACAGAATAAACCAATATAATCCAATTATTGTCTCGAAAATAATATTGGTATCTGACATAAATGTCTTGAACTCATCTGTAAATTTCTCTGTAAAAGGAATATTCTCCCTATCAGTCGTGATAGATGTGATCAGAGCAAGAGGGTATTACTCCTCACATATAACGCGCTAAGAAATGCTACTAAAAAAATGTTGAAGTGTTTTGTTTGTTTGGGTTGTATTTCAAGAACACTTTTACCTTTGCACCCTTCTTCAGCACAGCTTCAGCCACGGCCTTCCCGAACCCCTGTGCACCTCCAGTGATGAACACGACCTTATCTTTCAGCTGCATGTCGACGACAGGTATGCTGAAGGTGTACATATTATACATAAATGTAATTACTATACTGCTCTGTGAACAGGGCTACAATAGGTGTATGTTAATACATCGGACTGAAAACAACATTAAATTTCCACAACAGCTGTAAAACTAATAACATGATTATTGCATGGGGTACATAGAAAACAATTTAAATCATACGTCATGGCCAAATATATATTAAATGTCATTTCATTTGTTTCATATACCTTTACTCCGTAATATAAACTGTATACAATTGAATAAATCAAATCTATTTTCAAAATATGTACTGAAACTATTAGTGAAAGCCCTTATCACAAAGCCTTCAAAAAATCATAACTAGCACTTGACGTTTTGCCAAGTGCTTCTGATATAACCTGTTGGAACGTGTCGAATTTCACGTTGTGGATGGGTGAGTGAGTATTGCTTCTCGTCACTTTAAAGACAACCCCTGAACAATCATCAACCAAAAATGTGCACCATAATTAAGTATTTCGGAGTAAATCACTCGAAAACCAGAAAGTGGAGCTGTGTGTAAGCGTCGCTGATCTAGGTAACATGTAAAAGAGCAATCGTTAAACGAAATAAGATTTGAAACGTATCAAATGCTTCTAGCTATAGTGATACAAATTTCCTTCTGTCGGCATAGCGTTTATATTTATAGGAACGTTCTATATCTAAGTAAATACCTTGTTTTCTTTAAATGCGATTTACTGTGACATTATAAAGTGGTATATGGGTAGCCTAAATACTAAGCTACAGATGTAAACACATTTGATGGTACATCGCAGTATGAGACAATAAAGTGGTATATAATTAGATATGAAACAAGTCTTTAGATATAAAGAATGATAAGTAACTTGAGAAGTGCTAGGACAGTTATTAACACGTGTCGTGTCAGCCCTATGACATTCGCGAATATCCACTTCCAGAAAACATCGATCCTGTGTTGGTTTGACATGAATTCGTAAAGCTTAATTAGGGATGCCCAACAAGTTAATTAATGAAAGAAGAGTAGTCAAAACGCTGTCGTTTCCTGCCCAGGACATCACACCCCTACACGCTAAGGTCGGTGAGAAACAAAGAAAACACACAGTCAAGACACTGATTTTTCTTCGAGGACTCACGGTATGTAGTCATAATTATCAGTTTATTACATTCTTGAAGATGCATTTTGATTCAAACTCAATTAAATGAGCAAAACTATACGTATGTGGACATTTGAGATCTGCCTAGATATGCATGTTTCGTTTTATTATTCTGTAATCCATTTTTAGTTTTACCCGCTGGCCCGGGCCGGCCCGACTTTTAGGCAATCCCCTCCTTAACTCGCACAAATTCAAAGCCGCTGATATATTGTACTCCTTCTGCTCATTACAAAAAAACAATCAAAGACCTCACGATTTGAACCCCTAGAAGACAAAATAAGTTAATTTAACCGGTTGGATTTACAGGATTTGCTGTTCACATTAAAACCCCTTCCATATCCAATAGCTTGTCACCTTCACCCACAACTTCTATTTACTTGTACTTTAGCCTTGAATTATATGCAGACCTCACCCGTTTACCTTGTGCTATACGACAGACGTTCAAGTATGAGTGTCTGGTGTGTATGCACGCCGGCGTTATAGACAGGATGTAACCAAAATACTATTTGTGTTCCACATAATTGTTACTCACCGCGTTGCCCGCTGCAATCGTCAATCGCAAGTCTCGGATTTGCTCAGAGTCAACGTCCCCGAGATATCGAACTTTGAACTTTGAACTTCGACACTATCGTGTGTAGCTACCAGAACTGGGTCGGTGCAGAAGCCTGTCTTAAACTGGGACAGTTTGCAGGGCGATGGGTGAATATCCTCATTTACAAAACAAAAAGTTGAAATTCTTCGGTTCTGGCGCAGTTTGCATGCTGCAGATCATTCCCGAATGCTGAGTATTATTTGCAGACGGTCAGTAAAATTCCGTAGATCCTGGAATAATACAGTTTTCAACTACTTTGTCAGTTTACATTTACCAATTTATGATCTAAATAATATTTCTACTGAAGAGTTTAACTTGTCTAAAGTCACTGTTATCCTATTATGATTGGTTACATGGGCTCTGGAACGATAGGGGCCAGGTAAATGGTAATAAGTTACGTACATACAGATTGTTTAAAGATTCTTTATCAGTAGAACCCTATGTCAGTTTATTGATGAACAGATGTCAGCACAGTATATTAAGTAAGTTTCGCTGCAGCTCACTGCCATTAGAAATAGAATGGGGAAGATTCACCCGCCCCAAAACACCGCTTACTGAACGTATGTGTAAATTCTGTAATTGCAATGCTGTTGAGGATGAAATACACTTTTTTGCTGAATGTTCTCTCTTTTCAGATTTACGCTATGATTAATGGAATTTAGCTTCTCAATCATCTCCAAACTTTATACAGATCAGACCGTGTTCTTAATGCGGAACAATAGGGAGGTTCGACCCCTAGCCGCGCTTCTTCATCACATGTACCAGCGAAGAGAACTGTGTCTTTCGTCTCTACCAACTTAGTTCAATGTATTTTATTTCTTAGTATCAGAATGTTCTCCTTTCAACTTTTGACCTTGCACTGGTGATAACTCATTTTTATGTGTATGTATGTACTGTGATATTTCTCATTTTTACTTATATGTATGTGACGTCCTGCGTGTCTCGTAGGCCATAATGTCCGGACACCGTACACACTATTTGTGTATTTTTATTGGCATTGTTGTACAGTGTGTGAGACGTAAATAAAATAATTGTCTTTCTCTTTCTCTCTCTCTGTGTTCCACATAATTGTTACTCACTGGGTTGCTGAAGCAAGAATGTATGTACAAATATTGGTGTACCGGCGATAATGTTCCCGAACAATGTACGTACAACCGGTACATCCGACAGGGACCGGACATGTCAAACCACGGATCTAAGAAAGGTTATTTAGGTCCATGGTCAAATCCATTTCGCGACACCGCATGGCGCGTGTAAGTATAGGTGAAAACACACCGAGGTTTTGGTTGAAAAATTTAAACACCATTAGGGAATTTTTTCAAACAGAACCTCGGAGACGTTTAGCATACAGTGAGGAACATACTCACGATCTCGACCTCTGAGAAGAAACTGAATATACACAAAGTTCGAGAACGCGAGAACGCTTGATAATGAAACCTCGCATTCTCGCATTCTCGCATTCTGCCGATTGCGAAGTCTTGCAGCCAGATTTGACAAGTCGAGATTGGGAGATTGCGATAAACTATCATAGATCAATGCAGATACACACAATATGAAGTTTCGAGTTTCAACGGCTCATTATTTTGTGTAAATAAAGAACTCGTCCTCCATCTGCCTGAAAATAAATCTGCTCAGTCTCAAAATAAAGTCTCGACCACAATATGACCATCCTCTTCAATACAGAGTATTTCGTTAGTAAAGCCGTAATCTTTGACATCGAGACATGAGCATGATAGATATTATGTCTGTAACACTTACTGATAATCATTTCAAAACTTCCATTTCAAGATGCCATCTCATTCAAGTGCCTGAATCGTATCCTTGGACAATGTTGACTTCACTTTGTCCAGCTGTGATATGACTGAACTGAAACAGTTGTTGATTGTGATGTGAAATGCCACTTACCCTCACCTGGCATAAAATACAACATAAACATACACGAATTATGTATCAACACCATTACAAGTTGTGCCATGAATGAGAACAAAAAGAAGGTATTGACTTATTCAGCATTCGATCAACAATCAAGACTGAAATCATGAAACTCCCTTTAATCCTTCAGAACGTCACCTCTGTCAGTCAGCATTGTGTATGCCCACTTCGTCCTGAATTGACAGGACGAATTATACTGCATTGCAGGAGTAAGGATGCCGCATTGGCCACGCTACAGATGCTGACACCTCCAAACGGTTCGACATCTTGATTGCAATAACGTTCTTCTTGTTGGAGGTTGACACAAGTTCTTACATCTGCCAGGAAAATATTGAATCTGTTCTCTCCTGTGAACATGACTCTTTACCAGTTTCTGTTCCGACAGCGATACAGTGTGTCAGCGTTACGTATCGTATAGCTCTGCCAGCTCTGATATTCTACAGAGATACTCTTCTGGACACTGTCAAGCGACAAGGAGGAAGGCTCAGCTGATGACGTCATAGTGATAATATCATTCCTCAGATGGAGGATACGCACGCAGCGTTTCCTGGATGGTGATGACAAGAGGTCTGCCACTCCAAGACCTGTCTCTCTTCCACCCAGTCTGCTTCAATCAGGCCATGCGCCTGGTGACTATCATAAGTCTACAGCCAAAACTCCTTGCGGCGTGGTCATGCGTTGCTCGTTGATGTATCATACCAGCAGCTTGTTCTCTCTGTTGTAGAGTTAATCTTAGCATGCTATTGTCCAACGGTTTGATACGCATGTCTTGTTTGTGGGCTGGCATTGCTGTCAGTGCAGCCAAAGTTTAACTTCAAATTCAAGTTCCGTTGATCGGCGGCACGTTCATTGGTAGAATGCACTAACTTAAAAAGAGGAAACGGAATTGGAATAAGCCCATTCCTCCCATTCAAGCTGTCAGCAAGTCTGTTCGCCCTACATGAAAGGCTTGTAGTTGTTCCCACCGACAGGGCCTTAAATAACATAATCATTATACGTTAATTGGTATAAATAACATGTCAAATAATGCCACATGTATCCTCTTTTGTACCGGATTCCAAAGCTACATAAAAATCCGTACAAAGAGAGAGAGAGAGAGAGAGAGAGAGAGAGAGAGAGAGAGAGAGAGATTGACGAGTCCAGCAAATGTACCACCAAATCCCTTTCTCAAAGACTAACCATAATCCTTAATACAATCAAGGAAGGACTTTCTTTATATTCACAGAAAGTATTTAAGACAGGTGGAATTAATATCATATGGATTCTCAAAAACTCAAAGTATTTGTTTGACGTTTTGTAATCTCACAAAAGAACCAAGTTTCATTCTGTCAAAACAGTTGATTTTTCAACTTTGTACACCACTATCCAACATGACAAGCTTAAGGAAAAACTTCATTCCTTGATCCTTGGGGCTTTTGTTATAAACACGTCTTGACTACAGATACAGTGTACATTACACAACTTTTGAGACACACTCGACCATGAACTTTCTACCAAGATTTCAAAGAGCGTCGTATAACTCTTGCTCAGAAGTTATTTGATCAATGTTACGCCATTGAAGGCCTGAGGGATTCATAAACATATGCTCATGATATAGTGCGTTATGCAGAGATTTCTATTGGATATGGAAAAGGTTTTGTCGCTTTATTTACATGAACCAAGTCGATCTGTCTCCTTTTGGACAGTTTTTCCCCCGAGACATATCACAAGCTTGATACCATTTACCATACAAATGTTGAATGTACAAAATAGACACTGTTTTGCCCGAGACAGCTTTGTGGTCTTTTAAAAATGGTCTAAAAATGCTTTATAATACTTCTATATTCAATGTTCTGTTTTCGGGTGTCTCCCTGCCCCGATATAGCTGGAATGAAGCTAAAAGCGGCGTTAATCCATACTCACTCACTACATATTTCACTCTGTTTCGACGGATATTCTCTAGTGTTGATGTTATATATTTGTGTATGTTTTCGTCGCAAATAGCTGGAAGATTGCTGATGTGGCGTTGAACAATAATTACTCACTTAGTCAGGTTTATTTCATGATTTTAAATATCTGAAATGCTGTCCTAACATCTATGTAAAATTTGGGGACAGGCCATTTAGGCAAGAAGGGGGCACAAGGTGGCCCTGTCGTCTAAGGTGACGCAATTCGCTGGGCACGCATGATTGTCGGTTTGAATCCCGATTCGCACAGTTTATGCTTCTAGATTTGTGAGCAAACTCGTGGGTTTCACCAAAGTAAACGTCTAAGACCTGCATCATATGGGGCTTTCCGCCCACGTGAAGCTGACACACCGTGATATAACTTCAATACTGTTACAAGGGGCGTTAAACCCAACTCACACACTCAGTCAGACAATAAGAAGGCATCCCCATTGGCAACAATTATGCTCCCCGTCTTGATGATCTGTTTCTTTATGGTGGCGTGGTTGCCAGTCATCTAGGGTGTCGCAATTCACTGTGCAAAGGGTTCGATTCAGGGTTCTAGGTTTGTCAGCACCATACCCATTCTCGTTGGTTTCACCAAAGTGGTAAACGTCTGAGACCTGCCTCACTTCGGGCTTTCCTCCCACATTAAGCTGACACGCTGTGATATAACTGGAATACTGTTCAAAGGGGAGTTAAACCTAACTCACGCACGTAAACTATATATATGGAATTGAATAATTTATAATGCATATTAAACCAAGTATCTTGAAGGGAAAAAAATAAGGCAATATTAGTGACAAAAAACGTTAAAACCTACTCGTATTCCGGAAACTACCGAGAGTTGTGCCAGGTGTAGATTGACGCTTACCATTGTCAAAACATTGTGAATTGTGTTGTCTTTATGCCAAACGATTTGCATAGGGCTATTTAAACTAAATTTGTTTTCTATACAAATGAATGTTATGGGTTGAAATTGTGTTGTCTGGTGATGGTTGGTTCAGTTGATATTGCCGTGTAAACAATTTTAATAATATATATTTCTTTGATCGTAAGAGGGATATTAGTGGCGGGCATTTAGCTTACTACCTGCATAGTGGCTCTTCTCGTCTTGGCAAAAAACATCCATCATTATTAACATTGACTGCCATATACACTCTTCAAAAATAGAAATGCACAGGTAGTATGTAGTTCATTGAACCTGCCAACACAAATCGAACTGGATATATGTTACTGGAAATGCTGGTGGCCAGATATTCGACAAACTGTGTGAAAACGCAGCCATTGTCGATTTGCAATGTTTTAAACGGCATTGTTTTCACAGTTGTTCAAAAATGTCATGGAAGAAAACAGTAAAGCAAAATGCATGTGCAAGATGACATTCGTAACTCGTAGTAGTGGCTATAAAAAGGCAAACATAAGCCAATAATTTGTCATTCAATTGTCAACAATTTCGAAAATGTCGAAACGCTGCCGATCGGAACATCGCCATAGGACGTATCCAAAATGGGGAATCTTCTGTTGCAGGCCACTTCTCCGTCCGCCACAGCACCATTTGCCGCCTTTGGGACCGAAACACAATGTTCAATTCCACTGCAGACCGTCCGAGAACCGGCCGACCAAGAGTTACCACCCCTTTAGAGGATCGTTACATTCGACTGTTCCACCTACGTCATCTCAATGCCACAGCTACGGTGACTACAGGACGCATCCCTGGTTTGAGGAGGATATCGGTCCAGACTGTCAGCGAAGCTGAAATCCGACCCAGAAGACCAGTTATCGTCCCCGTTTAACAACAGATCAATCGACAGCGACGCTTGCGTTGGTGCCTTACCTAACAGCCTTGGAATTTGAGAAACTGGACATGGGTGTGGCTAAGCGATGAATCACGATTTCTTCTTCACCGGCGAGATGGAAGACAACAGGTTTATCGTCGTCGACATGAGCGTTTTGCCCCACATTGTGTACGTGAATTCGACAAATTCGGTGGCGGTAGTATCATGGTGTAGGTGACCATATCCTCCGCCACAAGATCTGACTTGGTTGTGGTTCAGCGAAATTTGACAGCAAAACGCTACATGAATCAAATTCTTCAACCTCACCTTCTACCAATCATTGACCGCCACAGGGAGCTGTTTTAACAGCGCTCCACCGCACACAGCTCGTGTCACGGTAGACTACCTTAATGATGCCAACATCAACGTTTGTCTTGGCCGTCGATCTCATGAAGCCAATCGAACACCTCTGAGATGAACTCGATCGACGTGTACGTCAACGTCAGAACACGCCGCAGACACTTCCACAACTGACCAACACTTATCCAGTCAGTGCGGAGAAGATCCAGAGCTGTGATTGCTGCCCGGGGCGGTCACATGAGTGCAGCGCCACCTGTGGCCTTATGTGACATGACAATGAACAGTTTCCAATGCCTCTTTACACCGACAACATTTGACTTTCGAGCTCCAAAATTTCATATTTGTATCTATGATATTAAAGTAAATATATCGACTTTATTAGGTAAAATAAATTTGCTAAAAATCGACCTGTGCGTGTATTAGAGAGAGACACAAACGAAGAATAAAATCAATTTATGTTACAACAAATAAATGAACTAAAACTGACAATATCACACTAAAAATACCAGTCACATTATAATTTCTCTCAAAATGTACACCAAATTCACATTTTTCTAACCTAAACAATTTATTTTATTTGTCGAACAATAATGTATCCCAGATTAAGACAGAACAAACCACCCCAACCCCATCCTTTCGAAAGCTTCCCTCCCCACCGAATGTAAAAACACAAATACTTTTTGTCACATTGACATATATCGTATAATCATTCCCGAGGCAAATGCATGTACTTGATAAAAAAAATTATTTTTAATTTTTCATGACTAAGACATTTTCATTTATGTCATCTATCCTGTTTTCATAAACAAAAGGCGTATATAATGTACTAATAGTCTTCTTTTTTTCAAAATGAGGACTCAATTAATTTCCGTGCTCAGAGATACTGTGCATACAGAAAATTCTCAGCTTTAAGTCTAGTTTTGCTACCACTTTTTGTTTTGTTTTTGGTGGGTTTTTTCGATTCAGGATCTACTGAGAGGGTATTCGGTAATCAGCAATGTAGTGCGCGGGACATTTTTACAAATGTAGTGGTGTACGCAAAAGGATTTTTTCAGTCATTTTACTTGAACTCTAGTCTACAGTCTCTAGTGGCAGTCTGCAGGAATCTATGAATTCACCTTAGTATCTGTTGGACATATCTTTACACTCACCTTTCAATGGTCGGTCAATTGATCAATGATGACTTCCATTTTCCACAGGTTCATTATACACTTTCGGAAATCTCTCCCGTCACGTTTATCACGTGGGCCATTTAGATGTCTTGAACTTAATGCAAGTGTATTACGACGAACTATCACTATGACTGATTAACTGAGGTAGTTCTAAATAATCCTTTCTCATCTAATAATGATATTATTTGAGTATATTTACTCTAAACAAACGACAAAAGTTGTCACTGTGAGTAAACATTCGCTCATGTCACCTCTCATTTTGAGGAACTACTTTATTTAGCGATAACGGTTGTTGTATACTTTGTGTTAGTGTTAGTGTTAGTGTAAACAAGAAGTCAGACGTACAAAATAGAATTGTGAATAGACCTACAACCTCCGAGGTTTAAAATAGTTATATAAAAGCAAATAAAGAGCAAACCTGAAAAAAGGAATATAAACGCTTTGAGGGTATCACAGCTAACTAAACACATACCAAAGTTCATTTAAAAATTGACTTTCACAATGTGTGGGTTTATTGGAGTCTGAGCATTGAAGGAGTGAGGGCCAAACATTGTATATGAAGCTCCGACGTTGATACAGTTTGGCCCACACTCTACGAAGGTTCATACTATAATGAAAGCGTTTATATTCCTTTTTTCAGACATTTTACGTTTTATTCTTGATTTGCTCTTAAATTCTCACAAAATTAATTAAGAACACTCTAAACATCTACTGCTCTGAACTTGTCTGACTTTAATGTAATAGCATGTATCTTCTCTTGATGACACCATACCTTATCAAATCGACACAATTTAGTGTTAGTTTTTAGTCCGCGGGATATATGTACAAAATATCTAAATATAAAATCGCTGACTTTTAAGTGGCCTTTTCCTTTCATGTTTTAAACTGTTGACTACAGTGATATTATTATTTATTTATTCTTACCGGATTCCGAAAAATTATAAGAAAAGCTTGTGTGCTACCTTTCGAATAATATATCTACAAAGGGGCATTTTTAATGTTTGTATGTTGGCTATTTTCTTGGGTCAATTTTGGGGGTATATATATTTTGGTATTACTCCGCGGGGACCAGCGACATCTTCATCTTTTCTACACCTTCTTTACTTTTGATGGTGATGGCTGTGCCGTGGATGGTGTCGTCCTCCATTGCCAGCAGGAATGCCTCCACCACCTGGTCTACCCTTCAAAATACAGAAGACACGTGGACAAGCGCACCATGACATTGGCCCAAGTTCATCAGCTCCCAGGTGGAAGGTGTCTTACTCACTGAGGGAAAACGTGTCATTTCTTATTATAGTATCGGTTTATATATATATATATATATATATATATATATATTGATAATGTTAATATTCGTGCATACCTGTATGGACAGATCAAGTTAAAACCACTTGTGGAGATATGGATATCAGTGCTATGGAATGTCAAAAACACATATGGAAATATATACGGCAAAATAGCAGTGGCAATTATAGGAATGGATCACTGAAAATCAATGATGATATCAGGCGTTCGTGAAAAGGATAAACATATCCTGCCCTATCGGTAGCACCCGCCACTCACAATTTGTATAAAAGGGTATGATTGAAACCATGCCTTTTTAGTTTTTGGGTACTGGACGCTTACGGATTGATAACTTTCTATGATATTATTTCATTGGTCACAAGCAAGAAGGGGGCCACGGGTGGTCCAGTCGTCTGAGGCGCCGCGATTCGCTGTGCAGAGGTGCGTCCCTTGGGCACGCCAGAAACCTATGAATCGAATCCCGGTTCGCCCCGATTATGTTTCTAGGTTTGTCAGCACCATACCTGTGCTCGTGGGTTTCACCGAGGTGGTAAACGCCTGAGACTGCATCACTTCGGGCTCTCCTCCCACATTAAGCTGACACGCCGCGATATAACTGGAATACTGTTAAAAGAGGCGTTAAACCCAACTCACTCACTCACTCACAAGCAACAAGTGCTGCTACGGTTCAGAGCGTATGGTATTGGTCTACAAACAAGAGATACGTCACATATTTGCAAATACCATTATTCATTTTATGTACAACAGAGCTATACTTACCTGCAATATTTAGAACGTTCCATAAACTGCTTGAAATTTTCGTAGTTTATAATCTTTTCTTCAGCCATATCCAGAAGAGCCGTCTTAGCTCCCGACGGGCAGATACTAATCATTCGAACATCAGCTGACTTCATATCAGGGTTTTTCTGGTGACACAATGATATTTCATAGTGTATGCGATAGTTAAGCATCATACACTTATTAAAATCTTTATAACTACAGTTTCATAGCGGCCTGAAACACAACTCTCTCTTTGTTATTTCCATAACATGACACAAGAGCTTACACTGCCATGTGCTTCAGCATAACGCGTACTTTAATACATTGGGTTAATGTGGGTATGCATCCCTACATACTCGCATATCCAGAGAGAGAGAGAGGGAGTGTGTGTGTGTGTTGGGGGGAGGGGAGGGGGGGCAGACACAGAAAGAGCAGGAGTATTAAAAGAGAGTAAACATACATTGCAAATGTAATGGATTAACCAGTCTTGATTATCCGCCGAAACAAACTACATTTGGCGTAAAGGGCACAATAGCTGTGAAAAAGAGTAAAGAGTACATTAGGCGTTACATAATTAGATTCTTGACTGGGTGTAATTTGGAGTAAAGAGTCAAACGTCATTACGGCCTTATTCGAACAGGGAGCCTGAACATGTCTGCACTGATTATTGTCAAGATGCGCGTTAATTAAAGGGAAATAAATCTCTCCTGAATGGCAACACATATCAGCTTTGTCTGAATAGAGGATCCCAATATACGCTATGTTTGTCTGTACTGTAAGCACGACACTATTTATTTGTCATATAATTTGTCATAATACAAGAGAGCGAGAGGGAGTTGTAATGATTACAAGTGTGTGTATACAAGAGTATAATGAATAACAAATATTTGAAATTGACTTACTGCCCAACTCGCCGTGAAATGGTAAACGGCACTCTTACTGGCTGCATATGCAGGGAACCAGAAGGAGGGGAGCAAGCCTTAATAAAGAGCGAAAGAAAGAATTACTTTGAAAGTTAAGTAACATTCAGAAGAGGTTCATATTGAATCAAGTTACAGTATCACATCATAAGATGTACATGTGAGCACATGAATTAGCTTCCTCTTCCTCAAACCTACATCCCCCATTCCATCTTATCCAGTCCCACCCCATCTCATCCAGTCCCATCCAATCTCCTCCAGTCCCATCCCATCTCCTCCAGTCCCACCCCATCTCATCCAGTCTCACCCCATCTCATCCAATCTCATCCCATCTCATCTCATCCAGTCCCATCCCATCCCATCTCATCCAGTCCCATCCCATCTTATCTAGTCTCATCCCATCTCATCCAGTCCAATCCCATCCTATCCAGTCTCATCCCATCTCATCCCATCTCATCCAGTCCCATCCCATCTCATCCAGTCCCATCCATCTCATCCCATCTCATCTCATCCAGTCCCATCCCATCTCATCCAGTCCCATCCCATCTCATCCTATCTCATCCAGTCCCATCCCATCTCATCCCATCTCATCTCATCCAGTCCCATCCCATCTTATCCAGTCCCATCCCATCACACCCCATCTCATCCAGTCCCATCCCATCCCCTCTCATCCAGTCCCATCCCATCTCATCCCATCTCATCTCACCCAGTCCCATCCCATCTCATCCAGTCCAATCCCATCTCATCCAGTCTCACCCCATCTCATCCAGTCCCATCCCATCTCATCCAGTCCCATCTCATCTCATCCAGTTCCATCCCAACTCATCCCATCCCATCTTATCCTGTCCCATCCCATTTCATCCAGTCCAATCCCATTCCATCTCATCCAGTCCCATCCCGTCTCATCAAGTCTTGTCCCATCTCATCCAGTCCCATCCCATCTCATCCAGTCCCATCCCATCTCATCCAGTCCCATCCCATCTCACCAAGTCCCATCCCATCTCATCCCGTCCCATCCAATCTCATCCAGTCCCATCCAATCCCATTCCATCTCACCCCATCTCATCCAGTCCCATCTCATCTCATCCAGTCCCATCCAATCCCATTCCATCTCACCCAGTCCCATCCCATCTCATCTAGTCCCACCCCATCTCATCCAGTCTCACCCCATCTCATCCAGTCTCACCCCATTACCCACACGCTTACCAATTACCCAAGCTTGTTCTCTGAGGTCCAGCAGAAAGGTTACTGTACCACAAGGATGACCACTTCATACCTGCAGTTGAAGCGGTATTGATGATGACACCGCCTCTACCCCCTTTATCCTTCCTCATGTGATTCAGCGCCATCATGGTCCCCCGCACAACGCCACCCTGGAAGTAGACAGCAATAACGACATACGACGGTAAAAAGATATAACATTTATGAAGGGGTGATACATGCAAGTTAGTCATGCAGAATAACGCTGCGTACACATGTTAGATAATGTATGTTTACCAACTGTGTCAAGTCAAGATATAGTACGGCAATAACTTACCGATGAAGACATGGTAAAATGGTGACAAATGAAACTTTTTGTGGATGAAAGCTAAGATTCCAAACACTTACGATGTTGATTTCGAGCTGTTTTTCCCATATTCGTTCATCCAAGATGCCCGCATTGTTGCACATGACATCAACGTGACCAAATTTGGAGACGGCAGCTTTGAAAGCATCTGTGTGACAAAATGCTCACATATGTTTTATGGTGAAGTTGAAGGAAATGAAGCTGCAAGTTATGTGATGCAAATTAAGAACGTTGACTTTCACTGAACAATATGGTCAGGCTTATTATCATTAGACATTAGAGTTATGGATGTTCAACAGATGATATTGTCAAATGGATTTTGAATATATTGATAGTTATTCAAAACATTTCAGAATCCCTTGTATATATATAACGATTCATTTGGCTATTCATTAACAAAGATCATGATCTCCGTATAACATGAGTGAGAATCTGCGCTCGCCGTCGGGGCACCATGACTTGTCATGTCATATCCCAGACTTGGTTTTAATTGGATTTGAAAATACAAATTGGTGTTAATTGGTCCTTATAAATCCATACAAAGAGCGATATATTGTTAGGTCAAACAAATGTAGACCAAATACATGTCTCAAAGATTAAACGTAATCCTTAATACAATCAAGGCATTTCTTTCACAGAAAGTATTTGAGACACGTGGTATTAATAACGTGTATTCTAAAAAATTCAAAGGATTTGCTTAAAATTTTGCAATCTCGGAAAAGGACCAAGTTCAATTATCGAAAAACTTTTGATTTTTCAACTTTGTACACGACTATCCAACACGACAAGCTTAAGGACAAACTTGAACCATGGGTCTTTTCTCACGTGGTGACTATACCCATTAACATATATATCTTCAGACGTTTAGGGCCGCCTCCGTGGTCTAGTGGTAGAGCGTCCGCTCGGAGAACGGAATGTCCGGGTGTTCGATCCCCGGCCGCGTCATACCAAAAGACGTTAAAAGAAAGTATTTGTTGTTGCCCTGTCTGGTGCTTGGCGTTAAGTGGTTAAAACAAGTACAGTATACTATGCCTGCGTGGGGTATTCATGGAAAACAGCGGCATGGGGTCTCAGTGGGCTAGCACCATGAAATCGGCACCAGTCCGGACTACTACAAGAAGCCACACACACGTGCATGCACGTCGCAATATAAGTGCAATAATCTTTCACGCGACGTTAAACCCCATTTCACGCCACTTCACCTCAAACGTTCAGGACAATTTGTCAAAAATGAAAGCAAATGACAAGTGAAGTCTACTGTCATAACTTGTGAAATTTGGGGAAAGGACGTTTCAGCAAGAATATTTCATTATGCATTTGAATCGGAAACTCTGCTCAGACTGGCAGAATGAAAGCAAGGTAATTTAAACTTACTTAACTTAAGCTTCAGGTATAGCGATGATATCATTCAAAATGAACCAATGGACAATGTCCTTCAACATTTCCATTCATTTACCCACCTAAACTAGAACTAAAAGAGACCAGACCCGTGAAGATTCCGGGGTAGAATAGGTCTTCGGCAACCCATACTTGCCGTTAAAAACGACAATGCTTGTCGTAAAAGGCGACTAAAGGGATCGGGTGGTCAGGCTCGCTGACTTGCTTGATGCCTGTCATCGATCCCAATTGCGTGGATCGATGCTCATGATGTCAATCATTGGATTTTCTGGTCGAGACTCGATTATTTATACAGACCGCCGTCATATAGCTGGAATATTGCTGAGTGCGGTGTGAAACAACAAGCAAAGAAACAAACAAACATCGAGCACGTTCCATTTACGAAAATTTCAAAAAGCGTCATATGATTCTTGCTCAAACACCCTTTCAACATTCAAGGCCTCAGTAAAGCTTCCAAAACAAATTTTGTTCGACATGTGGAGGACCATATAAAAATTGAACAAAGGTGAACAATGTAATTGCCTTTGCATGTGTGTGTTTGTGATGGGTGCCACCAATGGCGCAGGATGTACTTAACTTGTCGCGAACACCTGGTATCATCCTTTTTTTATTGTGATTCATAAACACATGCATATGATGTAGATGATATATTGTGATAAGGGAAATGATTCTGTCGGTTTTATTTATTAATACCTGTTTGTTCGCAATACCAAAATATACATTGTAGCCAACTGATCCTTGTTTTCATATGTTTTTATTTCGCTTTGCTGCACCTCCTGTAACTGTAATAACGTATTGTGATCAATGATTCACATATACAGAGGTGTGTTTTGGCATGGTATTTCGCGAGACAGCTAAACATAATGTTCATTCCTAATATAGGATATTTTCCATCCCAGAAATCACAAGTATGATTTCCTTTATCATATAATGCCATTTTTAAGTTCTATCTTCAAAGTAAATATTTGCGTCTCTTACAAACGGTACTTAAACATTGCAAGTTTTCCTGTAATGTGTTCATTGACACATTACACCACAATGTCAATACAGTTCAGAATACAATTTGTGAAAGTGTCTATACAATTGCCTACACATAAAAGTCTGCCTTGCCAGTCACAGGGTTGCCAAATGCAAGGAGATGTCGGACTGAGCGACAAAATGAAACAAATGGAAAAGACGGAGAGGTCTACAAGCACAGATATGTAAACTGTCCGCTAGCGTCCTCGCGCACAGACTTCGCCGTTTACGTTTTCAAAGTTACCTACACTTGTAAAATGTCTCAGCTAAGCCCTTGTTGGACCCTGCCTTTGGGTGTCTTAGACTATTATTGTAATATTGATAACAGTTAGCCAAGTAATGTGTCCAGAACACCGATGGTCAGTTCTGACTCGACTTCTTATAGACAAGGGCGACGCCAAGCTATTTGTAAAGAACTGAAACCTTCCCATTATCAGATACAGTAAAGTATCTCCCCCCTCAAGCACAGTAGCATCAGACTAGCATCCCACATGGATGTGTATGTACATGTTGGTGTCAGTATATTTAGTATCTCACCCCAACTACAACTGTAGTAATACTGGCTTCCCACATGGATGTGTATGTCGTGTTGGTGTCAGTATATTTAGTATCTCACCCCAACTACAACTGTAGTAACACTGGCTTCCCACATGGATATGTATGTCGTGTTGGTGTCAGTATATTTAGTATCTCACCCCAACTACAACTGTAGTAACACTGGCTTCCCACATGGATATGTATGTCGTGTTGGTGTCAGTATATTTAGTATCTCACCCCAACTACAACTGTAGTAACACTGGCTTCCCACATGGATGTGCATGTACATGATGGTGTCAATATATTTAAAGTCTTACCTTCAAAAACAGAAGCATCAGACACGTCACATTTCACAAAGAGGACATTGTCTGCTCCACTGGACGCTTGTAGTTCCTTGGCAGTTGCCTCCCCTTGGTCCACTTTGACATCAGCGACACAAACCTGACCAGAAAAGGAATTAATATGTCAGACAGTGTATCTTCTTTGTTCAGATCCTTGCTTGATGGGTGAAACAGACATAGACTATTATACAAGTAGGTCATTAACACCATTTGTGCATGTCTTCTTACATCTAAGAAACCTTATAGAAATCAGATATTTCATTCCAATACGAAAAAGCTTTGCGTGAAGATCTGAGAACACCACCATAAAACGACTATATCTGGAACATGTTGATATCGGGAAGTTCCGAATGCAAAACAATAAAGCCACGCTATTGTCTTGCTGAGGATATTGTATACATCCTTCATGTGATGATCGCCAGGGCATCTACACCCTAAAGGGTTACCATCAAGAGTGCATTTGTGTTCTGGGGCGGCTTTCCTTTGATAAGACTGAAATTTCAAAAATGGAGGAAGTATAGAAATGAAGCCGAATCGTTTTGGTAGGTAACGTCTGACTGAACCCACGCGGCTTCCATTTAGATTGGGCGGTAAAAGTTCGTTTAGAGTTCACGTGACGCGACTTCCTCAGGTCTTCACACTGATACTTGGTTTTAAAAAGATTGAGACATTGTCACTAGTAACATGTAAAAGTGTAGGGGTTTGTTGATTGCTGAAAAGATATGCATTATAACCTTTTGAGTAACAGACAAGCAAAGCCATGTTTGGGAGACTCGTACAAATTCGCCTACAGAATAAACCAATAGAATCCAATTATTGTCTCGAAAATAATATTGGTATCTGACATAAATATCTTGAACTCATCTGTAAATTTCTCTGTAAAAGGAATATTCTCACTATCAGTCGTGATAGATGTGATCAGAGCAAGAGGGTATTACTCCTCACATATAACGCGCTAAGAAATGCTACTAAAAAAATGTTGAAGTGTTTTGTTTGTTTGGGTTGTATTTCAAGAACACTTTTACCTTTGCACCCTTCTTCAGCACAGCTTCAGCCACGGCCTTCCCGAACCCCTGTGCACCTCCAGTGATGAACACGACCTTATCTTTCAGCTGCATGTCGACGACAGGAATGCTGAAGGTGTACATATTATACATAAATGTAATTACTATACTGCTCTGTGAACAGGGCTACAATAGGTGTATGTTAATACATCGGACTGAAAACAACATTAAATTTCCACAACAGCTGTAAAACTAATAACATGATTATTGCATGGGGTACATAGAAAACAATTTAAATCATACGTCATGGCCAAATATATATTAAATGTCATTTCATTTGTTTCATATACCTTTACTCCGTAATATAAACTGTGTACAATTGAATAAATCAAATCTATTTTCAAAATATGTACTGAAACTATTAGTGAAAGCCCTTATCACAAAGCCTTCCAAAAATCATAACTAGCACTTGACGTTTTGCCTAGTGCTTCTGAAATAACCTGTTGGAACGTGTCGAATTTCACGTTGTGGATGGGTGAGTGAGTATTGCTTCTCGTCACTTTAAAGACAACCCCTGATGCACCACGGTGTGTCATCTTTATTCCAGTGGAAAGCAAAGTCGGGCTGCTCCGGACGTCTATCGGTATAATCCACGAGCGTGGACATTGAGGAGGATCAAGTGATGTAACTATTAGATTCAAATCCACAATCAGCACTTGCGGGGAAGGGGAAGGGTTTCCTTGCTTGTTGTTTAACGCCGCACTCAGCAATATTCCAGCTTTATGACGGCGGTCTGCAAATAATCACGTCTGGACAAGACAATCCAGTAATTGACATCATTAGCATCAGTATACGCAATTGGGATACGATGACATGCATCAACCAAGTCAGCGAGTTTGACCATCCGATCCCATTAGTCGCTCCTTACGATAGTAACTTTTAACGACAAGCATGGGTTGCTGAAGACCTATTCTACCCCGAATCGCAAGGCTAAGGGACGCAACTTTTCACAACTAAGGTGCGACAGATTAAACAACACACACGCACAGAAACCTACCTTCACCCATACACCCTCACCATATTCGACAAGAAAACATTGATGCAGAGCATCAAAGTTCCCCGCCATATGTGATGCCTCACAAACGCATAATTATGATGTTACTGCAAGGCATGATGGAGCATAATTATATTAACAACAAATAACACAACGCTGTTGTGGAAAAAAATATTATTTATTTTGAGTATTGGGCAACACAGTTGATACATTTGCATAGGGTAGGTCTATTTAAAAATAGTTTCTTGTTTAACGCCGCACTCAGCAGTATTCCAGCCATATGACGGCGGTCTGTAAATAATCCAGTCTGTACCAGATCATCCAGTGACTGACACCAAGAGCATCGAACTATGCAATTGGAATATGATGTTATGCATCGACCAAATCGGCGAGCCTGACTACCCAATCCTGTTCGTCGCCTCTTAAATTACGGCAAGCATAGGTTGCTGAAGACCTATTCTAACCTAGCTGGGTCCTCATTTAAAAAGTAGATCGAAGGAAATGGAAGCAATTTACATGTAAACATGTGGAAATAGTATCAAAACTGCCAACAACATTGGCAGATGCACATACTCAAATAATAGATCACATTGTTTTTACACTTGGCATTTGGTTATAATAATGTAAATGAAAATACTAAGGGCTCCATATGGCAAACACGTTATACTAGATAAGGTCTTTTTGTCACAACAACAGATGCACATACTCAAAATATTATCACGTAGTTGGAGAACATTTCAATACCGGGGCTAATCAATAACGGAGATTCCTCGTCTCTTGTTTTACGTTTTTTGGTCAGTTTCTTTTTTGTATTTCTTTCTTTCAAAGAATAGCAATTGTGATCATGATGAGTTGAGTTACTTTTTTTTCTTTCTATGTACTGTTTTTTTTATCCAGTGTCAGTAACTGTTGTGGAATGTGGTTTACTTGTAACAATGACTGGTTTGAGTTCACATGATGATGATTGATTGGTTTGTCGTTTAACGCCGCACTAAGCAATATCCCAGCTATGTGACGGCGTTCTGTAAATAATCGAGTCTGGACCAGACAATCCAGTGCCTAATATCATGAGCATCGATCCACGCAATTGGGATCGATGCCATGCATCATCTAAAGCCTGACCATCCGATCCCGTTTGTCGCCTCTTACGACAAGTATATATAGTCGCCTGATATACTGTTAAGATGTAACATAAATATTCATCCGTACTACTAAACAGAAGTAAAACCGCTCGTCCATTCGGATCAATCTGACCCAAACCATTCCGCTGATGAGAGTCAAATAATGCATACGAATCAAAATCGGTAAAAATTGCAATGGAGACATCATTAAAAGTTACCAAAAGTGACGGGGATATCAATATTGCTTGTTGAAATGATTATATGAAATTTGTTTTCCCTGCTTCAATGTTTGGAGCACCTGTGACGGAGCCATAAAACTGATCCGTTATGTAGACAATATCGCTTGAAGCATTTGCTGCTGGGAGCTTATTATGACCTAAATACCCCTCATAGCCTTCGGTGTTAACTATGTGACTGTAGAGAGCTGTGCCTTCATCCAACAGATTATCGAGGTCAGTGGAACACGGTACAGACGCAAATAGATTTGAGCCATGGGACACAAAATATATGAGTGACCAGAGCTACGGCTGTACATTGAATTCCATTAAACGGTTAAAAAATACTACAGCCTTGATGCAAATTCGGCGACATACTACTCCGATTTTGCTTTGACTTTGCTATCAAACGTTTCACATGTGGCTATGTGGGGTGCACTGATTAAAAAAAACACGGGGGACTGGGTTAACTCAAAATACGGAATAGTAACTATTCCAAATATTTCCAGGGAACATGAGCATCCAAACAATCAAAAGTGTGGTATGTAGAAAGTGGAATTCAGCCATATTACATTTAAATTGAGATGTCGTCGTTGTTCATGAATAAGCATATTCAGAACAGAACTTTTATTATGCTGTTATTTACGATCTCCGGAGCACAGTTCGTCTTTTGTATACACCATGAAAATTAGTCCTTGAGGAAGAAAGGACATCGGATTACACATGAATGGTTTAATAATGTCAGCTAATGACCAGAAACGGCCAGATGCATCAATTAACTACATAAAGACGATTTTGAAGTATCTCTTATTGCTGGAAAAGAATAGCATCAACATTCCACGCACATGATTTGTATGTTTTGTTTCCGTAAATGCGTGGCTTGAAATTTCAAATAAACCAACATGTCGACATACATACTTCAAAATTAACGTTTCCCGTATACTTCCCCGCCTTAAGGGCGGGGAAGAATAAACTACCACTCCTTAACGGCATTGCCTAAAAGTCGGGCCGGGCCGGGCCAAAGTGTTATTGGCTAATTACTTCATTATCGGCGATCATACCTACATATGTTTGATGCAACATACACACATGACATTACTGAACAATCATCAACCAAAAATGTGCACCATAATTAAGTATTTCGGAGTAAATCACTCGAAAACCAGAAAGTGGAGTTGTGTGTAAGCCTCGCTGATCTAGGTAACATGTAAAAGAGCAATCGTTAAACGAAATAAGATTTGAAACGTATCAAATGCTTCTAGCTATAGTGATACACATTTCCATCTGTCGGCATAGCGTTTATATTTATAGGAACGTTCTATATCTAAGTAAATACCTTGTTTTCTTTAAATGCGATTTACTGTGACATTATAAAGTGGTATATGGGTAGCTTAAATACTAAGCTACAGATGTAAACACATTTGATGGTACATCGCAGTATGAGACAATAAAGTGGTATATAATTAGATATGAAACAAGTCTTTAGATATAAAGAATGATAAGTAACTTGAGAAGTGCTAGGACAGTTATTAACACGTGTCGTGTCAGCCCTATGACATTCGCGAATATCCACTTCCAGAAAACATCGATCCTGTGTTGGTTTGACATGAATTCGTAAAGGTTAATAAGGGATGCCCAACAAGTTAATTAATGAAAGAAGAGTAGTCAAAACGCTGTCGTTTCCTGCCCAGGACATCACACCCCTACACGCTAAAGTGGGTGAGAAACATTCTCATCAAAGAAAACACACAGTCAAGACACTGACTTTTCTACGAGGACTCACGGTATGTAGTCATAATTATCAGTTTATTACATTGTTGAAGATGCATTTTGATTCAAACTCAATTAAATGAGCAAAACTATACGTATGTGGACATTTGAGATCTGCCTAGATATGCATGTTTCGTTTTATTATTCTGTAATCCATTTTTAGTTTTACCCGCTGGCCCGGCCCGGCCCGACTTTTAGGCAATCCCCTCCTTAACTCGCACAAATTCAAAGCCGCTGATGTATTGTACTCCTTCTGCTCATTACAAAAAACAATCAAAGGCCTCACGATTTGAACCCCTAGAAGACAAAATAAGATAATTTAACCGGTTGGATTTACAGGATTTGCTGTTCACATCAAAACCCCTTCCATATCCAATAGCTTGTCACCTTGACCCACAAATTCTATTTACTTGTACTTTAGCCTTGAATTATATGCAGACCTCACCCGTTTACCTTGTGCTGTACGACAGACGTCCAAGTATGAGTGTCTGGTGTGTATGCACGCCGGCGTTATAGACAGGATGTAACCAATATACTATTTGTGTTCCACATAATTGTTACTCACCGCGTTGCCCGCTGCAATCGTCAATCGCAAGTCTCGGATTTGCTCAGAGTCAACGACCCCGAGATATAGAACTTTCAACTTTCAACTTCGACACTATCGTGTGCAGCGACCAGAACTGGGTCGGTGCAGAAGCCTGTCTTAAACTGGGACAGTTTGCAGGGCGATGGGTGAATATCCTCATTTACAAAACAAAAAGTTGAAATTCTTCGGTTCTGGCGCAGTTTGCATGCTGCAGATCATTCCCGAATGCTGAGTATTATTTGCAGACGGTCAGTAAAATTCCGTAGATCCTGGAATAATACAGTTTTCAACTACTTTGTCAGTTTACATTTACCAATTTATGATCTAAATAATATTTCTACTGAAGAGTTTAACTTGTCTAAAGTCACTGTTATCCTATTATGATTGGTTACATGGGCTCTGGAACGATAGGGGCCAGGTAAATGGTAATAAGTTACGTACATACAGATTGTTTAAAGATTCTTTATCAGTAGAACCCTATGTCAGTTTATTGATGAACAGATGTCAGCACAGTGTATGAAGTAAGTTTCGCTGCAGCTCACTGCCATTAGAAATAGAATTGGGAAGATTCACCCGCCCCAAAACACCGCTTATTGAACGTATGTGTAAATTCTGTAATTGCAATGCTGTTGAGGATGAAATACACTTTTTTGCTGAATGTTCTCTCTTTTCAGATTTACGCTATGATTTATGGAATTTAGCTTCTCAATCATCTCCAAACTTTATACAGATCAGACCGTGTTCTTAATGCGGAACAATAGGGAGGTTAGACCCCTAGCCGCGCTTCTTCATCACATGTACCAGCGAAGACAACTGTGTCTTTCGTCTCTACCAACTTAGTTCAATGTATTTTATTTCTTAGTATCAGAATGTTCTCCTTTCAACTTTTGACCTTGCACTGGTGATAACTCATTTTTATGTGTATGTATGTACTGTGATATTTCTCATTTTTACTTATATGTATGTGACGTCCTGCGTGTCTCGTAGGCCATAATGTCCGGACACCGTACACACTATTTGTGTATTTTTATTGTCATTGTTGTACAGTGTGTGAGACGTAAATAAAATAATTTTCTTTCTCTTTCTCTCTCTCTCTGTTCCACATAATTGTTACTCACTGGGTTGCTGAAGCAAGAATGTATGTACAAATATTGGTGTACCGGCGATAATGTTCCCGAACAATGTACGTACAACCGGTGCATCCGACAGGGACCGGACATGTCAAACCACGGACCTAAGAAAGGTTATTTAGGTCCATGGTCAAATCCATTTCGCGACACCGCATGGTGCGTGTAAGTATAGGAGAAAACACACCGAGGTTTTGGTTGAAAAATTTAAACGCCATTAGGGATTTTTTTCAAACAGAACCTCGGAGACGTTTAGCATACAGTGAGGAACATACTCACGATCTCGACCTCTGAGAAGAAACTGAATATACACAAAGTTCGAGAACGCGAGAACGCTTGATAATGAAACCTCGCATTCTCGCATTCTCGCATTCTGGCGATTGCGAAGTCTTGCAGCCAGATTTGACAAGTCGAGATTGCGATAAACTATCATAGATCAATGCAGATACACACAATATGAAGTTTCGAGTTTCAACGGCTCATTATTTTGTGTAAATAAAGAACTCATCCTCCATCTGCCTGAAAATAAATCTGCTCAGTCTCAAAATAAAGTTTCGACCACAATATGACCATCCTCTTCAATACAGAGTATTTCGTTAGTAAAGCCGTAATCTTTGACATCGAGACATGAGCATGATAGATATTATGTCTGTAACACTTATTGATAATCATTTCAAAACTTCCATTTCAAGATACCATCTCATTCAAGTGCCTGAATCGTATCCTTGGACAAGGTTGACTTCACTTTGTCCAGCTGTGATATGACTGAACTGAAACAGTTGTTGATTGTGATGTGAAATGCCACTTACCCTCACCTGGCATAAAATACAACATAAACATACACGAATTATGTATCAACACCATTACAAGTTGTGCCATGAATGAGAACAAAAAGAAGGTATTGACTTTGCAGTTTGACGACGGGGTCAATTATTCAGCATTCGATCAACGATCAAGACTGAAATCATGAAACTCCCTTTAATCCTTCAGAACGTCACCTCTGTCAGTCAGCATTGTGTATGCCCACCTCGTCCTGAATTGACAGGACGAATTATACTGCATTGCAGGAGTAAGGATGCCGCATTGGCCACGCTACAGACGCTGACACCTCCAAACGGTTCGACATCTTGATTGCAATAACGTTCTTCTTGTTGGAGGTTGACACAAGTTCTTACATCTGCCAGGAAAATATTGAATCTGTTCTCTCCTGTGAACATGACTCTTTACCAGTTTCTGTTCCGACAGCGATACAGTGTGTCAGCGTTACGTATCGTATAGCTCTGCCAGCTCTGATATTCTACAGACATACTCTTCTGGACACTGTCAAGCGACTAGGAGGAAGGCTCAGCTGATGACGTCATAGTGATAATATCATTCCTCAGATGGAGGATACGCACGCAGCGTTTCCTGGATGGTGATGACAAGAGGTCTGCCACTCCAAGACCTGTCTTTCTTCCACTCGCCCGCTTCAATCAGGCCATGCGCCTGGTGACTATCATAAGTCTACAGCCAAAACTCCTTGCGGCGTGGTCATGCGTTGCTCGTTGATGTATCATACCAGCAGCTTGTTCTCTCTGTTGTAGAGTTAATCTTAGCATGCTATTGTCCAACGGTTAGATACGCATGTCTTGTTTGTGGGCTGGCATTGCTGTCAGTGCAGCCAAAGTTTAACTTCAAATTCAAGTTCCGTTGATCGGCGGCACGTTCATTGGTAGAATGCACTAACTTAAAAAGAGGAAACGAAATTGGAATAAGCCCATTCCTCCCATTCAAGCTGTCAGCAAGTCTGTTCGCCCTACATGAAAGGCTTGTAGTTGTTCCCACCGACAGGGCCTTAAATAACATAATCATTATACGTTAATTGTTTGATCAAAGAACTTGGTATAAATGACATGTCAAATAATGCCACATGTATCCTATTTTGCACCGGATTCCAAAGCTACATAAAAATCCGTACAAAGAGAGAGAGAGAGAGAGAGAGAGAGAGAGAGAGAGAGAGAGAGATTGATGAGTCCAGCAAATGTACCACCAAATCCCTGTCTCAAAGACTAACCATAATCCTTAATACAATCAAGGAAGGACTTTCTTTATATTCCCAGAAAGTATTTAAGACAGGTGGAATTAATATCATATGGATTCTCACAAACTCAAAGTATTTGTTTGACGTTTTGTAATCTCACAAAAGAACCAAGTTTCATTCTGTCAAAACAGTTGATTTTTCAACTTTGTACACCACTATCCAACATGACAAGCTTAAGGAAAAACTTCATTCCTTGATCCTTGGGCTTTTGTTATAACTACGTGTTGACCACAGATACAGTTTACATTACACAACGTTTGAGACACACTCGAGCATGAACTTTCTACCAAGATTTCAAAGAGCGTCGTATAACTCTTGCTCAGAAGTTATTTGATCAATGTTACACCATTGAAGGCCTCAGTAAAGCTTTCAAAACGTTTTATGGTAGACACGTGGAGGACATTTCCAAATTTGACGCATCAGTGACAAAAATGATGCCCGATGCAAAAACCTATTTTAACTAGTACCATGTGTTCCCATGTTTATTCAGGTGAACATTTGACATCCCTTTGCATGTGTTTGTGACGGGTACCACCGTTGGGGAAGGATACGCTCACCTCTTCGCGAATACCTGGTATCATCACTATTTAATAGGGATTCATAAACATATGCTCGTGATATAGTGCGTTATGCAGAGATTTCTATTGGATATGGAAAAGGTTTTGTCGCTTTATTTACATGAACCAAGTCGATTTGTCTCCTTTTGGACAGTTTTTCCCCCGAGACATATCACAAGCTTGATACCATTTACCATACAAATGTTGAATGAACAAAATAGACACTGTTTGGCCCGAGACAGCTTTGTGGTCTTTTAAAAATGGTCTAAAAATGCTTTATAATACTTCTATATTCAATGTTCTGTTTTCGGGTGTCTCCCTGCCCCGATATAGCTGGAATGAAGCTAAAAGCGGCGTTAATCAATACTCACTCTGTTTCGACGGATATTCTCTAGTGTTGATGTTATATATTTGTGTATGCTTTCGTCGCAAATAGCTGGAAGATTGCTGATGTGGCGTTGAACAATAATTACTCACTTAGTCAGGTTTATTTCATGATTATAAATATTTGAAATGCTGGCCTAACATCTATGTAAAATTTGGGGACAGGCCATTCAGGCAAGAAGTAGGGGGCACAGGTGGCCCTGTCGTCTAAGGTGACGCAATTCGCTGGGCACGCATGATTGTCGGTTTGAATCCCGGTTCGCCCAGTTTATGCTTCTAGATTTGTGAGCAAACTCGTGGGTTTCACCTAACTGAACGTCTAAGACCTGCATCATATGGGGCTTTCCTCCCACGTGAAGCTGACACGCCGTGATATAACTTCAATACTGTTACAAGGGGCGTTAAACCCAATTCACACACTCACTCAGACAATAAGAAGGCATCCCCATTGGCAACAATTATGCTCCCCGTCTTGATGATCTGTTTCTTTATGGTGGCGTAGACGCCAGTCATCTAGGGTGTCGCAATTCACTGTGCAAAGGGTTCGATTCAGGGTTCTAGGTTTGTCAGCACCATACCCATTCTCGTTGGTTTCACCAAAGTGGTAAACGTCTGAGACCTGCCTCACTTCGGGCTTTCCCCCCACATTAAGCTGACACGCCGTGATAAAACTGGAATACTGTTCAAAGGGGAGTGTAACCTAACTCACGCACGTAAACTATACATATGGAATTGAATAATTTATAATGCATATGAAACCAAGTATCTTGAAGGAAAAAAATTAAGGCAATATTAGTGGCAAAAAACTTAAAAACCTACTCGTATTCCGGAAACTACCGAGAGTTGTGCCAGGTGTAGATTGACCTTACCATTGTAAAAACATTGTTAATTGTGTTGTCTTTATGCCAAACGATTTGCATA